ACCTGCGTGCGACAGTGCTGAATGGCTCAAGGTTCCCTGAGAGCTTTGGTGTTTCAGGCCTTCCCTGATAACTCAGCCTGAGCCTGGCCTTAGAGGTTGCCTTCTCTGGGAAGTCTTCCCTGCCTCTCTCTTTGCCCCTCCCGCCTCCCCAGCTCCCATGGCTTCCCCTGTCATACTGTATTGTAACTGTTGGGATCTGCCTCCCGCTCCAGACTGTGGCCTCCTCAAGGGCAGGGACCACACTTTACTCATCCCCACTCCTCATCCCCAATCCCTGGCAGCAGACTCAGGGATGCTGGGCACAGTCAGGACATAGGCAATGTCTCCAAATAAATAAGTAAGTGAATGAAAAAAAGTGCAAGGTTCTCACCCAGTCTCTGACCTTGAGCCATCTGGGCCTCAATGTCCCCATGTCTCAAATGAAGGGTTGGCTGAGAGCAATGGCTTTCAAGGCTAACTGTGAGGTACCTTGGAGCTGGGAGGGAGGTGAGGCTCTTCCTCTCTCCGTGGTTTCACAGAGCAGCTCAATCCACCTTCATCTGTACTATGGACAAGTTTAAACAAAGGGCTGCAGTGCTTCAGAAACAATACCTTGAAACCCTGGAATAGGGACATCCAAGCACCCTTCTAGAAGTACAGTCCTAAAGCCTGAGCCAGCCAGAATCCCGGCTCCACAGAGGAGGCCCTGCCAGTTGTCCCTAGGACCCACCAGCTCAGGGTATTCACTCCCAACAGACAAGAATGAAAAGGAGGAACCAGTGAGATGATGGAGATTGAAGTGATGAGTGATATAAGCCCTCCCTGGAATCTCAAAGCTTGGGTAAGGGAAATTCACAAATCTGAGACAGAGAAGGGCAAACTGCCAGTGAGGAGCTGCAAGGAGGCCTTTGGAGTGGCCATGCACACAGAACATGCCAGCAGCTGCTCCAGCGACAGCTGTGGGGGTGCAGTGGGGGTCTAAGCAGGTCGGACAGAGAGGATCTGCCACAGGGCAGCATAGTACCAAATCATTAACAGGCTGCTGCCAGGAACCCATCCCTGGCAGGGTAGCTCTGACCCACCAGACCCAGCCTGGTTCCATTTACCTTCTCACCCCGGTTGGAGAGCGGCCCATCCATATCAGCTTTGAGGTGGACAGGGGGTGCGGTGTAAGGCAGCCGGCAGTGCACCTGCCCGCACTGTACCTGACCTGTGGACGAGAGGATGCCTTGGAGCTCATCCCCCAGGCTGTACACAGGATCCCACCTGCCCTGTGCTCTGCAAACTGGAGCTCTGAAACTAGTTTAATCTCTGCCACTTACCTCCTGGGTAGCCCTGGGCAAGATTTCAGTAGGGTTGGTTGTGATACTCTTTATAGTCTATAAAGAGCTATGTGACAGTAAGGTATAATCATCTAGCTCCCTGATAAACACTCCTAAATAAATACGTGCTTTCATATTCATGCACATGCAAGCCAGGCTGTACCCCATCTATTCAGACCCTGCAAGCCAGGCTGTACACATCTATTCAGATCCTGCAAGCCAGGCTGTACCCCATCTATTCAGACCCTGCAAGCCAGGCTGTACCCCATCTATTCAGATCCTGCAAGCCAGGCTGTACCCCATCTATTCAGACCCTGCAAGCCAGGCTGTACCACATCTATTCAGACCCTGCAAGCCAGGCTGTACCCCATCTATTCAGACCCTGCAAGCCAGGCTGTACCCCATCTATTCAGATCCTGCAAGCCAGGCTGTACCCCATCTATTCAGATCCTGCAAGCCAGGCTGTACCACATCTATTCAGATCCTGCAAGCCAGGCTGTACCCCATCTATTCAGACCCTGCAAGCCAGGCTGTACCCCATCTATTCAGACCCTGCAAGCCAGGCTGTACCCCATCTATTCAGATCCTGCAAGCCAGGCTGTACCCCATCTATTCAGACCCTGCAAGCCAGGCTGTACCCCATCTACTCAGACCCTGCAAGCCAGGCTGTACCCATCTATTCAGACTCTCCCTCAGTAAGTTCATATCTCTTAGGTATCACCACAACTTTACCCATGCCTCCTAGAGGACTCTGTACTCGTATGTCACCACTCTCTACAATTGCAATCAACACCAACACCTACTCCCTACCCTCCCTGTCTTCCTCCCAGCTTCGTTTTATTTTCTTAGCACTTACCATCTGACTTAACTGCATTTTTTTTTTGAGGCAGGGTCTTACTCTGTTACCCAGGCTGGAGGGGAGTGGCGTCATCTCAGCTCACTACAACCTCTGCCTCCCAGGCTCAAGTGATTTCTCACACCTCAGCCCCCCAAGTAGCTTGGACTACAGGCATGCACCATCAAGCCCAGTTAATTTTTGTATTTTTTGGTATTGAGAGGAGTTCACCATATTGGCCAGGCTGGTCTCAAACTCCTGACCTCAAGTTATCTGCCCACCTCAGCCTCCCACCTTCTAAAGTGCTGGGATTACAGGCATGAGCCACCATGCCCAGCCCGACTTACGGCATATTTTTATTATTTATTTGATAAGATCTGTCTTTGCCAACTAGAATGCAAGCTCCATGAGGGCAATACTTTTTTGTCTGTTTTTTAGATTCTAATCTTTGTGGATTTCCAGCACCTAGAGTGAGACATGGCATTTAGTAGGTACTCTTAAGTATTTGATGAATGAATTTCCATACCATATTCCAATATCTTAAACTGTTGGGGAAGGTCCACCTTTGCGTAGGATCCAAATTTCTCATGCTTCAGCCTGTTTACCACTACAGTGGAGAAGTCCATTGCTTGTCTCTTCTTTCTTTATTTTTTATTTTTATTTTTGAGATGGAGTCTTGCTCTGTTGCTCAAGCTGGAATGCAATGGCACAATCTTGGCTCATTGCAACCTCTGCCTCTTGGGTTCAAGCAATTCTTCTGTCTCTGCCTCCTGAATAGCTGGAATTAAAGGCATGTGCCACCATGCCCAGCCAATTTTTGTATTTTTAGTAGGGACAGAGTTTCACGTTGGCCAGGCTGGTCTCAAACTCCTGACCTCAGGTGATCCATTCGCCTCGGCCTCCCAAAGTACTGGGATTACAGATGTGAGCCACTGTGCCCAGTGTTTGTCTCTTCTTTAGACTTCATTCTCTTTGGTCACTGGGAAAAACCACTATAGAGAGACTTATACCTGATATATAAACTGGGACAAGTCACTGTTCCCTTCTGAGCCACAGTTCTCCCATTTGTAGAATAAAAGAGTTATATTAAATTGGGAGTTCTTCACCTGGGGTGTTCAAGGAGTCCATATGCAACTTCAGATTACCTGGAAAAGGTAGTACATCTGCATTTTTCTAGGGTCTTGTTCCAAAGCTTTTATCAGATTCCAAGCTCTAAGCCTCCAGGAAACTCAGTATTCTGTGACTTTAGTTCACTGCAGAGCAAAAGTTCGTTTTTCTGGGGTCTGGTTCTAACACATTCATTAGCTTCTCAGCTCAAGGCTTCTGAAAATTCACAACTCCATGATTTTAGTTCACTGTAGAGCAAACTACTGTGGTGACTATCAGTCAGTCACGCAGCAAGAGATACAGGTGCAGACACCCCCAACCTCTTCTTCCCCAAGCTGAGTTCCACCACCTCAGCCTCTTCTCTAAGCATCAAAGACACATCTAAGTTTGGTGAACAGAGTGTGTGGCCAGAGTCCTGGAAGGGACTCTGGAGGTCATGACCCCAAGTCCAAAGAGGTCATCTAGATTTCTTATTGACCCTATACCAAGTATTAGCAGGTAGCTCAGACCCCTGGTACCTATAGAGCCCCTGATCCTTGGCATCTTTAACAGGTTCCGTGCAGCCTGAATATAAGTTTTTGTTTAGAAAAAGAAAGGGAGAAAATGTCACTCCTACTGAGCAGATAGTTCAGAAATGCAACAATCTAAAGAGACATGGTTTCCAACTGGCAGCCTGGTGCAGAGACAGGGCTCTGTCCTCCTAGTTTTGCCAACCCAAACCACTCCCACCATCACAACAGCAGCCAATACTTATGTGGCACTTGCTAAATGCTGAAGACTTTAAATCAGTTGTCTCATTTGATGCTCAGAACACTGCTTTGAGATACTCTTGTTGTCCTCATTTTTACAGATGAGGGAATGAGTATTCAGGAAAGCTAAGAAACTTGCCCACTGTCGCACAGCTAGTAAATGGCAGGACTGGGATGTGAAGCCTGGCCATCCGACACCAAAGCCCACGCTCTATCATTAAGGCATACCACTCCCACTAACTCACAGTGGGCCCTTGGTTTCCTCATCTATTCGAGGAGATGGTGGCCTCTGATGTTTAGAGACGCAATCAGTAGAGTAGAATACAGTCAGTAAGCAGCAGTTCTCTCTCTGATTTCCCTTCTTTTCCCCTTTTATATGGAGCCAGAGAAGGAAGGATTTGCATGTGTGTGTATGTGCATCATGGTCCTCTCTATTTTTTTTTTTTGTTATGCCCAGCTTTGAGGAAACAATTGATGGGAACAACTTCAAAGAGAAAGACAATCTGTGATAAGCACCTGCTCAGCAGCAGATGCACTGAACAATTATCCTACAGAAATCCCCGGGTCTCCTCTCACTCCTTCAGGTTCCTGCTCACAAGTCATTTCACCATGACCCACTTACACCTGCATCTCCGCCACAATGCTCCCTGCCACAGACATGCCTGCTCCCTCCCTTATGACACACTTATCTGTCTGGTTATTTTTCCATGCCCACCGGAATGCAGGCTCCACAGGGTAGGTACCTTGTCCATCCTGTTCTCTCCCCAGTCTCCAGGCACTGGCACAGACTGGGTGCCTTGAAAGCATTTTTTGAACGGCTGAATCGTTTGTCTCTACGAGAAGGGCCCCGCCCCACTGAGGCACTCTTAGATCCAAATGACTTCGGATCCCACGTCTTCACCCACGAGGCTCTCCAAGGTCCCCCACCCCAAGCCTCAGCCGCTCACGCGCGCTCCTCCGCACTCCCTCCCTGCAGGCCCAGCGGCTCCCAGGGCTGCGGTCACTTACTCTCGATGTAGCCGTGCAGGGTAACCATGCGCGCCCGCTCGGGGCTGCTGAACGGGGTGTAGTGGATGTCGTCGGACAGGGCGGAGGGAAGGCGGGACGGGGGCGCCCCCGAGGGCGGCACTGGGTGCTGCGGCGTGTGCTTTTTATGACGCGCCCGGCAGTTTTGAAACCACACCTGGAACGACAGCCTCGGCAGCCTCAGCCTCGCGGAAAAGAGTCGGACGCGCCGCCGGGGACCCCAAGCAGGACAGCCTCGTCGCCTCCTGGAGAAGGGTGGCCACGTGCACCCACGACCTCCGCGCCGAGCCCAGCTACGAGCTCCAGGGCGTGTCCGCGGTCCCCAGGCCCCACCCACCCCTGTCCCACCTGGATGACTCTCCGGCTGAGGCCCGTCATGTCCGCCAGCTTCTGCAGCGTCTGAGCGTCGGGGTTGTTGTCCTGCGCGAACTGCGCCTGCATAACCTGCGGGGCGGGGAGGGCGGTGAGGCACCAGCACGCGGAGACTCCGAGACCCCGGCCCAATCAGAGGCGCCAGCCCGCAGGCCACGCCCCAGGCAGCGGGGCCCCGCCCCGCCACCAGGGTCCGGGCAGAGGGGCGGAGCCAAGAGACCTTATCGGCCCCGCCCACGCCCCGGCCGCCGGCGGCCTGCAGCGGTACCTGCAGCTGTTCAGCGGTGAAGGACGTCCGCGCGCGCTTGGCCGGCTTGGGCTGACTGTCCTGTTCCGAGGGCACTGCCCCCTCCAACGTGAGGCCGTTCCCTGGGGGCGATATAAGCGGCTGACCACGCGTCCCATCTCTTCTAGTGGCAGCCTGGAAAGGACGGGGGTGGGGGGAGCTTGTCCCTGGAAGGGTCAGGAGCGGGAGTTGGCTGGGAGCGGGGATCCCAGGTCCTAGTCCCTGAGCTTAGTCTTTGGGGAAGGGGTTTCTGAGAGTCCTTTCAGTACTGAACACTTTTTACACGACAGGACCACGTCTTACAGCCCTGATGAGAGGTGGAGTTACCCCATTTTACATGGGAGGAAACTGAGACTCAGAGAGAAAGAAAGCCCCTGCCCTGGACCTTTCGACTAGAATCTAAAAGCTAGCTGACCCTAATGTCCCATGGCTCCCTCCTGGCGAAACTGGGGGAAACCAAAGGCTAGAGGAGCAAGGAAGTAATGGAACTATGATCCTAATTCCATAAAAATAAGCGGAAGAAAAAAGTTTGTAAGAATATACAACAAGGTGTTGGCAGTGGTTTTCTTCCCAGGAATGTGATTATGGAAAGTTTTTACTTTCAGTATTCCTGTAACTTTTGAGGTTTTTTTAAACAATCATATGTTGCTTCTCTAAGGTTTAATTTTGTTAACCAGAGTATATGTTAGATATTCTCTTTCTACTCATATTACTTTTACAATCATACTAAAACACTAACTATATTCCCATTTTATTTTTAATACCTAATTGTTCTGAATATCCTGAAAATCTCAGAAAATTTCCATAAGCACAAAGAAGAAAATAAAAATCACCAGTAATTCCAGCACTCAGAAATAACCACTGTTCACAATTTATTGTAATTTTTTAATTAGGAAAAAATTATGTTGAAGGAAAAAAGCAAACACCATAACATACATGGAAAAAATCTGAAAAGATACACATTAAAATATGAAGGCAGGCAACATTTGGAGCGACTGTTATTTTCTTCTTATTGCTTACCATCTTATTTTTCTACAATGAAAGTGTGTGTGTTTGTGTGTTATGTTTAAAAAGTGAAACAGGAGCCAACACTTAGGGCTGATCAGTAAGAGATCAGAGGCCCCAGCCTTTGAGTTCATCAGCATGGTAAGAATCTGTGGACAGGTGTGGCTGTGAGAGCTAGGATGAAACTGGCAAGGCTGTGACTACAGGTGGCCCTGATTGGACCATGTGTGGAAGGAGTCTGTGGTCACTGATGGACCACAGTGTGGGAAAGCTCTAAATCCTGGGCTTCCATCCCAGCTCCACTGCTGACTTGCTGACCACTGCAAATAATTTCATTGCCCACCACTCCAGATAAGTGGGCAGCAAGTGAAACCCAAATTCACTTAGACCCACTTAGTCCTGATCCTGGCAGGAGAAAATGATGGCCCTGGTGTGGCCATGGCCAGGAACACTCTGGTGGTCCCTGACTATTTCCCAGGCTGGGACCTAGAAGTTGAGGCAGGGTGGTTCATACTCCTCCCCAGAGGAACTGGGGATTGGGTAGACACTCTGTGTTATTAATGTCCCCTAGGAAGCAGGCAGGGCAAGCATTGGTGTGTTGGTTTTTTAAATGGGAAACAAAAACAGAGACAGCTACATCCCAGAAGCCTCCTTGGCTTTATGAGATCTGATTAGGGTGCCCTAGAGTTTAGGGCCAAGGTGCTATGGGATGGTGTTAAGAGCCTGGCCTTTGGAGTCAGGTAAATCTCCTAGTATGTAACTTTTGGCAAATCCTGTTTCTTCTCCTGTAAAATGGGGATGTCCCACCTACTTCCTAGGGCTGTCGTAAAGATTACATAAAATAATCCATGTTACGGGGAAGTTAGCAAGCAACTTTCACAGACCCTAACGGGAATTAAAGAAAGGGTCCCTGCCTCTGCCCACAGCCAAGCAAGCACTGCCCTTCCCCAGCTCAATCTGGCCTGTAACTCAGTCCCCAGGCCAGGGAGACCTGGATCTTGTTCCTGGGCAATCTGGGGAATAACAGTGTCAGAGCCAGAAGAGATTTAGGAATCATTCTAGTCCAGTATCTGTCTTTGCACAGGTGTGTGGACTGAGGCCCAGAGAGAAAAGGTATATATCAACCCAGTATGTGACAGCCTGATCTCCAGACTCAGGAACCTGGTCCTTTCCTCTTGTAGTTAGATACCCTGGTCCAGGATGAAACCCTTCTCCTCAAACCTCTGGCTTGGAGCTGCTAGAATAGGAATTGGGAGAAGGGGGCCAAGCCATCTCTCCAGCACTGGCCCAAGCCTCGTCCCTGGCAACTGGGGGGGATAAGTCCCCAGACCAATGAGAGCTGTCCAAAGGTGGAGTCGGCGGGCCCCCTTATGAAAACCATCTCTAGGATTCACTGAGTGCCGCCTGGCTTTACAACACATCAGCTCATCTATCTTTGGGAAGGTATCCTATCCTTAAGGCCATTTTACGGATAAGGAAACGTTGTTGCAAAGTATGTTTCTGCCTCCTTCTGATTCCTAAGCAAAAGATCCTGGAAGTGCAAGATCTGTGCGCTGCTCCACCCCCATGCTGCCTGCGGGGCGGTACTGGGAAGGCCCAGTCGGTAGAGGAGTGTGAGTGGTTCCTGGGGTGCTGGGGTGGGGTGGGGTGGGGCGGGAAAGGGCTGGGGGCAGAGGTGCCAGGCAGAGCAGGTTGGGTACCGTTCTCGGCGGCCCTCTTGAGGTTCTCGATCATTGTGTCGTAGTGGATTCGGCAGAGCACCTTCTCCTCCACCAGGCCAAACTCCTCACCAGTCGACAGCTGGCGCTTACAGGAGAAGCAGGCGAAGCAGGCCAGGTGGTAGGCGTTGCCGCGAGCTCTCCGCACCCAGTCGCTGGCGTAGATCTGTCGGCCACAGCGGGCACACTTGGTCCCGAATCGGCTGCAGGTGGAGAGGACAGGCACGGGGTGGCGAGACTCAGACAGGCCAACCTTTCCCCTTCCACCCACACTGGCCGCCAGCTCCCAGGCTCGGATGCACCAACCCTCTATACCTAGTCCCAGCTAGGAGGTGAACTGGTGGGTGATTTTTATTTTCTTCTTGGTGTTTTTCTGAATTTCCCAAATTTTCTACAATGGTCACTTCTATTTACTTATTAATTTGTTAAAAATACATCACAAGTTAGAAAACCCATAATAATAGTAATAGGCAAATTGTTGAGCACTTACCACTTGCCCAGCAGGAATCTAATTGTTTTACCGTGATTATCTCAATTTATCCTCATTTTGCAGGTGAGGAAAATGGGGACCAGAGAGGCAAAGTAACTTGCACAAGGTCACATGGCTTGCAATGACAGAAACCCTAGCCATCCTGACTCCGGAGATGAATATAAGCTATAGCCCCAGGTGTACAGAATGCAGTTTCTTAGAAGAACAGACAGATAAGCACTTACTGGCTTTGTGACCCTGGGCAAACTGTTTAACTCTGAGTTCTCATTTTCCTTGTACTGCACTGAACTAGATGACAACAGCAATGACCACTACTGTTTGTTCAGAGCTTGCACTCTGCCAAGTACCCAGCAAGTTCTGGAGCTGTGACATTCTATTAATAATACTAAATGTTAAAAAGACAAAAATAAAAATAAAAAGCCTGAATCGAATGTCTTCTTACCCCTTAAGCCTTCCTTGATTCTACCTCTTCCCCTTCTCCCTTCCAGTTTTGTAGTCTGGCAATTTGGGTGCAGCTGCCTCCAACACTAGACTGGGAGCCCCTCCAGAAGGGAGCAGAGTCTGGTTTATCCCATCCTAGAAGTCAGTCCAGGGCCTGAGCCAGGGCACCAGGGAAGGTGTGTTCTTTAAAGTGGATGACTCACTTGCCACTCTGTCCCAACCCTGGCACCCTGTTTCCTCTGGTACACCCTCTATTTCAGAGAATGGTGCCACCACTCACCCAGCCCCTGAAGCCTGAAAATCATAATCGTGCACTCCTCTCTCTCCTCAACCCCACATCCAGCCAATCATCAGATGCTGTTGGTTCTGTTTCCCAAGTGTCTCTGGGATCCATCTCCTCCTCACCATCTCCACTGTCGCCCTCCTAGGCCAGGCTCCCTTGGTCCTTCCCTCACTGTCAACCTCCTCCTGGGTCTCCCTGTTTCCAGTGTCACTCCTGCCAACCCCTCCTCCACACAGCAGTCACAGAGAAGTTTCCAGCATGCACACAGAATCCTGTTTCTGCCTTGCTTACAATCCACAGGATCTGGTCCAAAACTCTTGGGGTTTGCAAAACCCAACCGACCACATCCTCTTCAGGCCCATCCTCTCCCTAACCTTCAAGATGTGCCGCCCCTCCATCCAGGCAGGTGTCCCAGTCAGCCACAATGAAAGGTCACTCCCAGGTCTTTATGGCCTCCTCTGAAGCACTTTCCCACCCCCAGGCCTTTGCACTGTTGCTTTTCCAGACCTACCCTCCCCCAGAGTCCCAGGGCCCCCGGCACCGCTATCTCAGTGCTGACTGCACTGGTTTGTAAATGTTGCTGACGGCACTGGTTGTAAATGTTTCGTTTCGGGCTCTTCCCTTCCACCCCTTCCACCTTCCTAGAGTTGGGGGCCCGGGGTTGGGAGTGGAGGACCAAGGAGATTTGCCTCTGTATCCCCAGGGCCGGTACCCTTCCACCCGGGGGAGCATTCGGTATCGCCTGTGTGTGCACGGAGGAAACAGCCCCGCAAAAACTCTCTGGTTACAGCCTGCCTGCCTTGGCAAATTCAAGCAACTGTCGGTTGAAAAAAACAGCGTTGGGCTGGACTGCGTGCGGGAGCCCAGCGGCTTCTGCCAGTCCCCGCTCGCAGACTCATTCCCAACCCTACTGTCTCAGACAAGGAGCACGAGAAGACCCTTCCGCGGGAGGCGCGGTTCGCTCAGGAGGCGCTGCGCACCTAGGTGGAGTCTACCGCTCCACCAAGCAGAGGCGGTTCCCGACCTCGGAAACGCGGTCTCCCCAACAGAGTGTCCAGCCCAGCCCAGCCCATGGTCTCTGTTCCCCGTCCCGCAGTAAAGGGGAGAGGAAACCGTTTTGCCCAACCCAGCCTACTCCCGGCGAAGGTCCGACCCCGGGTTCCGCCGCGCTGCTGGTAGTATCCGGATTGGGTGCACTTTCTGGCCTCGGAGGAGAGGCTGGCTTCCGATTATTTGTGCTGCAGGAGGGCGGCGGGGGGTGGGGTGGGGGTGGCCAACCGCGCTCAGAGCCCTTACTGCCGGCAGGGGTCCCGGGGCGCGACGCCTTCATTGCACCCCCTGGGCTTCGTCGCAACTCGGTGAGGTGGGGACTCTGGCATCCGTTTTTCATACAAAGAATCGAAGGTTTAGAGACGCCGAGTGACTTGCCCGAAACTCCGCAGAGTGTGCGGCTGGGTTTGAGGCCCCCTCTAAGGTGCAAAAAGTACCTAAAACCTGCGGAGCAACTGGACTGGAGACGAGGAGAGCTGGAATCCCGCGTGGATTAACAGGAAGCAGAGCCAGTCAGGCAGCGCCGCGTCCCCACTCCGGGCTGCTGGTTCTGGAATCTCCCGCATGAGGGGCCAAGGACCCACCACCTCGAGAAGGCGGTGAGTGCATCCTCTGGGAGCGGACAGAGCCTGAGCAGGGAGGGTCTTGGCCATCAGAGGCCGGGCGAGAGCAGCTGAGCCTTCTGTGCGCCTGGCTCTGTGGGATTCTTTCCCCTTGGCCACTGGACGCGTAAAAGACGCGTATCTCTCTGTTCTTCTAAGAAACTGCACTTCTGTACACCTGGGGCTATAGCTTATATTCATCTCTGGAGTCAGGATGGCTAGGGTTTCTGTCATTGCAAACCATGTGACCTTGTGTATGGCGATCCTGCCCCGCGGGTCCCAGACGCCCTAGTCCATTCTGTGCCTACACAGGAAGGTCACAGTGTCCTCACATCCTTGGTCGGAGGTAGGCGCTGCTAGTGACCTCTCAGCAACTTTCTCATGCTCTGCGTGTCACCCCAAATGCCGGAAGCTGTCCCAGCTCTAGAATCCTCCTGCGCTCCTGGTGGCTCATTCCAGTCTACGAAATCGTACTTGCGCTGGATCTTTGGGGTGGGGAGAGGGGATTATGTAGGTTTGGTTGTATTGCAGACTGCCCTGCAGCGTGTCCCCCACCGAGGACAGGGGTCAGCAGCACGAAGGGCGTGAGAAGGCTTATCGATCCAAGCTTTGACAAAACAGCTGACTCCTTCCCAGGCGGGCTGCGAGGCCCGAGCCACCGGATTCCGGAAGCAGCGAAATTGGCGGCGGAGACAACGAAACCTCAAGAAAGAGGTGTGCAGGAACTGCTACCAGAACGCCAAAGGGATTAGAGGGTGTGCCAACTGCCACCCCAGCCTTGCTGTGAGGTCCAGACCTTGCGCGTCCCTGGATCCCGGCGTGTGAAGCGCCTAGGTGCAAAGCACCTGAGGCGCTTTCGGGACGGAGAGGTGTTGGAAAGATACAGCTCATCCTGGCAACTGCTAAAAAGAGTAGGGTGGGCATCGCGCACCGCAGGGCCCTCTACCTCCTGAAAGGAGGGCAGAGATATCTGAGTACCAGTGGTCGTACCAACGGAGCTCTGCGCCCTTGACCAAATCAGACTCACTTTCCCAGCCTACTACCTGGATACCTAGTAAGCACTTGGTAATTATTTGTTGGATGAATGAGCCTCAGCGAAGGAGCCCATCGGAGTTTCACCTCAATCCTTTCTCCCACTATTAAGCTACCCCTTTTCTGTACAAGGAAATCAAACCTTAGAGTGGAAACGCCAATGTTAGTTACCAAGCTATTGAGCCGAGAGGCTGAAACTGAAACGGGACTTCCCTTATCTTATGTTCAAGACGTTCCTGATGGTCTTAGATCCTGTAAGGGGAACAAGGTGGGTTGGAGGTGGAGTCCCACCTATTCTCTCTGATCCTTCCCTTCTAGGTACACCCGTAGGGGAAGAAGGGGGGGGACAGAACCAGCAATTAAGAGGTTAAAACGACCGCTTCTCGGAGGTCCCGGCCCCAAGGCTCCTCCCCCAGCTCCCCTCTCAGCTCTCCCAACATCTTTCCCCCAACAGCTGGCTGCCGCGGGGCCGCTCTCTGCCGCGGCGGGGGGCCGCTTCCCGCTCCGAGCCTCCCCGGGGACCCTCGCTCTGCGGGAGGGGGTGGGGTTCTCTCGCCGGAGCCTTCGACAAAACTTGGGCTCAAGGCAGAAGGCCAGGGAAGGCTGGGGGCTTGCCTGAAGTCCTTTGGGCCTAGCTGGAAAGAGGATCTTTAGCCTCCAGGGAACTCACTGAACCCCTATCCCCATAAACCCGAGGGGAGGCAGTTAACCCTTTACTCCCACTCCCAATGTAAGAAGGCCTAAGGGCCAGGGACTGCAGTAACCTGATACTGACAAAGTTACTCCACTCACAGGCTTCTGAGGTCATTCCTGTCCTAGTGCTCCCAAGAACTCCCAGGGAGCCACACATCAGAACACACAGTGGGTGTGCCAACCTAACTGGGCAGGGAATCTTAGGAACAGCAGAGAGGGGCCCCACGAGGCACAGAAGGGTGTCTGATATATCTCACCTATAGAAGAGTATGGGGGTGTTTAGGGGCAGGGATGGTGGAGCCAGGCAGCTGTAGGGCTTATCTAGACTCTACCACTTAGCCGAGTGACCTCATCAATCAGGGTCTCTGTTCCCTGATCCCACCCCCACACTGCCATCACGTGGGATTATGAGAGTATCATACACACAAGGTAGACCTGAGAATTGAATGAGATAGAACAGGTAAAGGGTTAGTCCAGCTGCTGACTTAGACAAAAACTCTACACATTCTGATGACTGGTGCCCTGTGTGACTGTAAGCAATGACACTTTCCCAGGACAGCAGTCACGCCAGCTATACAATGGGCATGATGTTCCAGGAGGCTGGGGAAGCCAGGAGGGCACTGCAGATTGGGTCATGCCCTATTGAAGGGCAGCAGCTGCAGATATGGGAAGCTGTCTGGGGCTGTGGTTGCTGGTAGCAGGGGAAATGTGAATGTCCCAGAAAGGAGCACTGTTTTTTCCCCCATAATTTTCTTCCATTTTTGGAAGAAAACAGAAAGAAGAATGGTCTTAACAAAAAGGGAAAGAAATTAAGAGTCCTATCACATTTTTTTGGTGGTAATTTTTTTTTCCTCCTGGGAACCTCAAGCAGTAAGGGGAGATAGGGATCTGGTTGAACCCACAAGGACTGGTAAGGGCCCTGTTTAGAGGGTGAATTGGAGAAGCCGAGGCAGAGTCCAGTGGTCTGGCCAAGGACACATAGCCAATGAGAACCAATGTCTCCCAGCAATGCAAATGAGCCAGGAGCAGTACTGGACCTCCATGTCTCCTCTATGCTCTGTAGCCCCTCTCCCTGGTGAACTTGGAGTTTCTTTCTGACCTTTAATTCCCTGAGCCACCAGTGCTAGCTCTGTCAATGGAGACTGAAGGAGGGTCTATAAGATGATGTCAAGGAGGGACAAGATGGGGGATAGACCCTAGATCCTCTTCCCTGGGGAAAAGACCAGAGGTTAGAGGACCAGGGGATCCCCATGCTCCCCCTCCATGGGGCCTTGGCCACTCCCTTCCTGCCCCCTGCCCTATTGGGAGCTCTTGGCCTCTCTTTGGGCAAAGTGCTCCAGTCCACATCCTACCAGACCCTTGACCCTGGGCTTCAGGAAACAGAAGCCTGGAGAATCTCAGCATGTGACCTCTCCCTGGGCCCCAGCTCCTGAGAGGAAAATTCTGCCTCCCACGCCATCATTCACACTCTCTTAAGGAAGAGCTTCCTCATAGCAGCCACCCAGAGCCTGGGCTGCAGTGCAGTGCAGACAATAGTCCTTGCCTGGCACTCAACCGGCTTTTTCTTTCCCTTTTTGTGGGTTTTATTATTTTTGTTTCAGGTGGGGCTGCCAGGGATGGGTTATGCCTGCAGGGAGAGAAATGATCAGAAGAGCCACAATTCTACCCTCAACCCAGGGAATGTGAGCTTTTATTGCCTCCATTTTCTTAACCAGAAATCTGGTTTAGTTTTGCTTTCAGGGCTCTTGTCATTGGAAAAAGATTACTGCTCAGAACCTGCAGCCCAGAAATGGCCCAGTCTTATCCCTCCAGGGAGACTCTGCTCCTCTGATTGTGTGGGGAAATGCCATCATGGGTTTGTGCCCAGCATCCACCCTGCCAATGATGACAATGCTGATAATCGAGGCATTCATACCAACCGCCATTAAGGGAGCCTTTACAGAGACTTCCCCCACAACAGTGGCCTCTTTGGCAGTCCTGGCAGACAGCCTTGGAAAGGTAGAACTAAGGGCCAAGAGATGCAACAACTTGCTCAAGGTCACAACTGGCCAGACTGGGCCCAGTTTCCTGCCTGTTCCCACAGTGGCTGCATACCCTACTGTATCCCACTGCAGTTGGAAGAGGACTCTAGAATGAACGACGGCTCTGAATAGTGGAGTTAGGATCTTCTTTTAACTAGTTTCAAAGTCTAGTAAAGCACAGTAGCCAAGGAGGCTCGGTCCAGCATGGGCATGAGCTAGGGCTAGAGAAGCAGAAAAGAAATTTGGGCAAGTGGTAAATAAGACTGCCAAGTTCATTGTCAGGAGAGCCAGGAGAGGTGGCCTTCCCTGCCTTAGTCTATGGGAGAGGCCCAGACACCATCCTGCTGCTGGGTTTCCCAAGCTGGCACCCAGAATTTAGGAGCTGATGAATCCAAGGAGCCCCCAAGCATCACCTGGCATTGTTTGTTTGTTTGTTTGGTTGGTTGGTTTGTTTGTCTTAGACAGAGTCTCGCTCTGTCACCCAGGCTGGAGTGCAGTGGCACAATCTTGGCTCACTGCAACCTCCACCTCTCCAGTTCAAGTGATTCTCCTGCCTCAACCTCCTGAGTAGCTGGGCCTGCAGGCACACATCACCACACCCGACTAATTTTTGTAATTTTAGTAGAAATGGGGTTTCACCATGTTGGCCAGGATGGTCTCAATCTCCTGACCTTGTGATCCACCCACTTTGGCCTCCCAAAGTGCTGGGATCACAGGTGTGAGCCATTGCACCCTGCCCATCTGGCTTGTTTTAGACAAACAGGAGTCAGGCTTACAGTAGGGAGGCGGCTAGACAGTGACTGTAATCTCCATTTCCTGTCCTGGCCAAACTAACAGGGAGGGGAGACATCACACTCTGGTTACACACCACTAATCTCCTTTTGACTACACACACACACACACACACAAACACACACAGCCATCTAGATTCACAAACACATTCACATCACACCCTTCATCCCTCAGTGTCTAGGTGGAGGCCCTTAAGCAGGAATGGCCCCTCAGAGAAGGTGGGAGGGGTATGATGGGATTTCAGAATCCCCTCACCTCATCTCACCCTCCCACCTCCAGATCCTAGTCCAGATGTAATCCTGTCCTCACCGCTTTGCATGCACAAACACGCACATGCACACACACACACACACACACAATCCCAACATTCACATATAGACACCCACTCTTGACACCCACACATGAATTAAAAGACAAATGTTGGTCTATAAAGGAACACACATGCAATCCACACACCCCCAATCCTGCTCAGTGATGCTTTCCCCAGCACTACTGCACACATCCCAGAAAATACAGACCCACAGGCGCTCCTTGCACACTGAGTCCTAGGCCACCTGGTCGAGCACCCACTCCCCCACCCCAGCTACACACTCTTTCACATCCATCCCATAAAGGAAGAGTCCACCTCTTTAATCACGCTTCCTATGGTTTCTTCAGATTACCCTTGCCCCAAATGCTGCCAACCTCCCCCTAGACTCAAGATCTCCTCTATCCAGATCCCTGGAGGTTCAATGCCAGTGCATGGAAGGAGATCGCCTTCCATCATATTCCCTGACTCTCAGAGGCTCTTTCTAGCACAGGGGTCTGGCCAGGAAAACTGAAGCCATGACGTCTTCCTATGCAAGGATGGGAAGGATGTCTGTGGGTTGGAGGGTAATTATAAGGAAGCAGCTTTCTCCACTTTTTGAGAAAGCACTTGGGAACAAGCATCCTTCTCAGAAACCAATTCCCCACCATCCTCTTCGGATCCCATAGGCCTGGTGGTCCAACCCTCAGGCCTGGTTCATGCCTCCCACTGGGATCAGCAGACAAGGCCGTGACCCTGCAGTGACCTCGACCCCATCATCAGGTCAGTTCCGGGCTTGTGGCTAGAAGCCAGGCCCAGGCAAGTGGCTGAGATGCGGCAGAAGGACAGGAGGATGCGCCTGGCTGCTGTCGGCTGCCGGGACGCGGCCTGCGGTGCGGAAAGCGCAGCCCGTGGTAATCCTACTCTGTGCTCTGGGCTGCAGTGCCCGGTTCTTCCCCTTCCCATCCCGGCGGCCCAAAGGCAGGGCCTAGACCCTGGAGAGGCCGAAGCCAGGCAGAAACAACAGTGAAGCTGGGACTGGAACAGGCGCCGGGGACCCGCGCAAGACCCTAGACTCCTAATGCGACACTCCAGTGACGCCGGGGTATAGCTGAGATGGAGCCGGAGACCGAGGTTGGGGTTCAGGAAGAGGCGCTTGGGTATGGAATCGGATCTGAGGCAGTTTCGGAGCTGGTGCTTGGGGCTGGACCAGACTCGAACCCAGAGCTGAGCCTGGGTCAGAGCCAGGGCAAAAGTCCGGAGCCCAGCTCAGCGTCCAGCCTGCGAGAGACCCCAGTATGACTGGCGTCCGAGTAGGTTTGGAACCCGAAGCCCGAGCGCACTGGAGATGCAGCCAGACGGCGACTGGGATCCGAGTGGGTCCGGGTCAGAGCTAGGGACGTCAGAGCTCCACCGAGGCGCTCGAGGTTGGAACTGGAGACTGAGACTCAGGCAGGACCCGAGACAGAGCCAGAGACGACACCGAAACCCAGATTCGGGGCGCGAACCTGTGCAGGCACCGGCGAGCTGCCTGAAGCTCTGGGTTCGCGCCGCTGAGCCCGCGCTGAGGGTCGGAAGTGCATTCGGGATGCCGAGGCTCTGAAGCCGGAGACCACACGCCCCAAACGCGGCCTCTGAAAGAGCCCAGGGCCTGCCGCGGGGACATTGCTGGCCCGGCGGCCGCAGCCTACCTGAAGTAGTCCATCTTGCAGAAGATCTCCTTGTTCTTGATGTAGCAGCTGTTTTGCTGCCTCAGCGACGTGCGACACACGGAGCACTCGAGGCACCGCACGTGCCAGATGAGGTTGTTGACCTGGGGAGGGGGCGGGGACGGGGGTGGCTCAGCGCAGGCCTCTTTCACGCGGGGCCCTAGTCTCCCCGGTCCCATTTGCAGCCAGAGACGCTGAAGCTCAGAAGGTGCATGCGACTGCCCTACTTTTTCTTCCATAATACTGAGCCTCAGGGAAATGGAAATAAACTCTTGCTATTTTTCAGGAGGAACCCGGGGACGCAGGCAGACCCTAAGACTTGCCCAAAGCCTCCCAGTCGGGCAGCGGTGGAGCCAGGATTTGGAAGTAGGTGGACCTGGCGCCGGCGGTGCTTCCCCGAAGTCTCCTGCACTGAGTCCCACGCCCCGACAACACGCACGCAACACCTACCCCTGTCTCACCTTGAGCAGATACCGGTCCAGGATCTCGAGGCCGCAGCTGGAGCAGATGTTCTTGCCGGCAGACGGCACGGAGGAGGCGGCAGAGGGCGGCGAGCAGACAGATGGCGTGCTGGGCGTACATGGCGAGGCCCGACCCTCGTCCTTGTCCAGGACTCCTGCCAGGGCCTCGGCGTCAGACTGCGCCTGCGGCGGGAGAGAGAAGGAGAGAGGAGCGCTGAGCCCGGCACGCAGAGTTGCGGCTGCCTCGGAGACAAATCTGGAGCCCCCAAGCACCAATTAACAACGAAATCTCCCCGGGACAATGAGCCGTAGACAGGAGGACAGGGATGGAAGGCCCTATCGGAGAGGAAGGGACGGCCCCAACTTTTAACACGTGCATTCTAGGTGCTGGGAGCAGTTAAAGCCAACATTCCCTGCCGGAAAATCAAGGCTCAGAGAGGGGCGGCGCCCGCCGGGAGTCCCCCAGAGTGTGGGCAGTGGTTTTTAGCCGGAAAGCCTGGCCAGGTCCCCAGGGCCGGGCCTCTGGAGGACTGGGCACCGCAGGCAGGGCCAAACAGACTCACCATGGCGGGCGGCGCGGTCCCTTCAAGACAGCGGGTGGTCGCTTTGCAGCCGGACCCTGGCTGGGCCATCACCTGGGGGAGGGGGAGGGAACGCAGGCGGCGGCGGCTGCTGAACTGGCTTCGCGCAGCCTGAGCCCAGCGCCTCCCCGCGCCTGTTATATAAACCGGCGCCGAACAATGAGTCCTAACTTTGTAGTGGGCATTTAAAGCCCTTCCCCACAAAAGCGGTGTCTCTCTAATGAAGCAATTTGAATTTGGATTGGATTTTTTCCCTCTCTCTCCCCCTCTCCCTGCACTTAACCCGTGGCTCTTGAAGTAATCGCTTAGTTCCCTTGCAATCCAAGCCTCTGAGGGGGGAAAAAAAACACGCGCACACACACACAAACTACCTGCAATTAGAAATTGTCGTGAATGCCCAAGATAAGAGGTAGCCAGAGTGTCAATTCCAACTGTCAATCAGTGAGATCCATCAGGCCGCCCAAAGAATTGCAAATTTGATTTTTTAATGGTAGTAATTAAAAATCGAATTTTTTCTCTCTCCACCCGTCCCCCCCCCGCCCGCTCTCTTCTCTTCTCTGCACAAAATGCAAAAAGGAGAAAAGAGAGAAAGAAAGAAAATAAAAAAGAGATGGGTGAGGGGCGGGGGGTGGTTGAAGAAAATAAAACCCCGAGCGCGGTGAGCACCCGCCCGCCCGCCCGACACGCGCCGCGAAATTGAAGCGGCGATATTGATACGGATTCAGGCGCCTTTCCAGGGCCAGTCGGAGGGAAACCCAGAGCAAAAAGGGAGCGAGGTCGGGGGCGAAACGGGAACCAAAAAGAGAAAAGAGAGGCGCCCAAAAGGAGGAAAAAGCACCCTCCAGCCCCTTGGCGCGCCCAGGACCAGCCCCGCGTCGGGATTCTCAGCGCTGCGCCCGCACAACCCCCGGCGCATCGGCGCTATCAGCGCCTATTCAGACGGACAATACCGGCCTCGCCTCCTCTTGATTCGCCTGTGTCTTTACTAAATCGCTTTTTGAGAAATTCCTCCAACATTTGCATAATGTGTTCCCGCTTTCCGCGACCCCCCCCTCGCTCGCGCGCGCTCGCACACTCACAAACACACACTCACAGGCGCACTCTCGTACCCCTCCTCCCTGCCGCCGCCCGCCACCCGGCTCGGCCCGGCTGGGTCCCGGACCCTGCCCAGCCCCGGCCCGCGCCGTTCAGCCAGTCTTTCGCCGACTCACCTGGTCGGTGGCGGGGCCGCCCTCGGCCGGCAGCCTGCAGCCCTCGGGCAGCGCCGGGGCGGCGTTCTCATGCTTCCAGTACATGGGCCGGGGAACCGCGGGATCAGCGGGCGCGTAGCGCAGAGAGTAGCGTCGAAGGGGGCCACGGCCGCAGTGGGAGCAGAGGCTGCTGCAGGAGCAGGAGGAGAGCCGAGGCGCCGGCCCCGCCGCCCCGGGCCCGGCCCCAGCCCCCGCCCCCGGCCCAAGCGCAGCCCCGGCCTCCCTGGTTGCCGCCGCCGCTGCCTCGGGAGAAGGTCCCGACAAACTTGGAGAGGCCCCCGCCCCCTCCTTCTTCTCCTCCTCCCCCTCCTGGTAGTCTTCCTCCTCCTCTCCTTCCTCCTTGTCCTCCTCCCTCTCCAGCTGCAACTGCGGCCGCCCTGCCGCTGGAGCCCCGCTCGGTTCAAGATGAGTCATGCGTGACCAATCCCCTCCCCGCCAAGGGAGAGCAAGACACACACGATGAGGCAGAGACCCAGGGAGACACACACACACACACACACACACACACACACAGACACAGAGACACACAGAAACTCAGAGCTGCCAACAGAGAGACTCGGAGACACGCAAGCACACAAAGGCACCGGCGGGCACACACCCACCCAGCTCTCACTACCGCCCCTTCAAGGGGCACCCATCTTCCTCAGATACTGCCCCACTCACAGGTACAGGAGGGACCCATGGCCATACGATCTGCCTAGACAGATTCAGTAAAAGGTCACACGTTATACTGTGTTGATGCAATCCCATGCCTGGTACATTTGTTGAAACACTAATGCAAGTGATTACCTGTTCACATCATTTACACAGGCATGAGGCCCCACACTTACTCTCACACACCTGCACAGATACCTCCACTCCATAAGAATGAGACAGTGCACCGGATCCCAGGGACTGAGTGGGATTGGGTGGGGTGAGATGGGAGGGTAGTTCCACTGAATTCTCTTGGGAGGGATTGCTTGGCACATCCTCTTTCTCTTCAGGATTTGCTTAACCACACAGTCTAATGCCCATCTCATCTTCTTTAGAGTTCTACTGGTAATGAGAATGGTAGGGAAGGCAGGAAGGCCCCAGTGTTTAGACAGGAGACATTGCCTCCAGACACACAGACAGCAGAATCTTCAAACCCAAAGACAGAGCCATAAACACACTAACACCCTGCAGCATACACAAGTGAACACTTAGCGCCTCAGCCCCCTTCTCCACACACAAACTGAGCCTAAAGAGACACATGTAAACTTACATCATCTTCTAAAAACAAATAAGCACACCCAGACATAGATCCAGCCCTACAGACACCATGATAGCCTACCCTCACTACATCCCACATGTCATCACCTCCACAGTTGCCCTAATTTACAGATGTAAACCCCCCCACACCCAACTGCTCTTGTATTTGTACACACATCCATATTCAAGAGGGCACAGACTTTCACTGAGTTCCAAACCCATGTATAACCTTATGTCCTCTACTCAGCCACCCTCAAATATGTACTTACATGCTTACAGATGGTGAGACAACCATTGGTAGGCATTTATAGGCAGACACAGCACACACACACTTCTACAGAAATAGATTCCCAATACTTACAGTCTCAGTTTGCACACACAGGCAGGTTCTAACAGATGCAAGTAGTAGAGAATGGCTGCGCACCAATACTAAAGACCCACATCCGTATCCCCCAAAGGTACAAATAATCTGTTCCTTTACTGGCACCTAGTTGCACAAAAACAGCCCCAGCCTCGGCTAATGGCATTTGCCAACCTCTGCACCCCAGTCATTCACTGATCTCAAACACAGAAATTCAGAGTGAAAAGAGTTTCTCTTTGAACTCTAATCTTTTATATGAAGAGAACATGTTGCAGTGTGAAAGTGGGTGAGGTGTACGCATAGATACACATGTGTACACACATACACATGCATTCTCAAACATGAACACAGAAGAACAACCCCTCGCCCTCAAATACCTCCTTTGCACATAATAATTTCAGCTACTGATGGGATTATTCCCAGCTACTACAGCTACTAAACTGTGCCAGGCATGATATTAGGCATTTTACAATCACGATCTTATTTTCCTTTCACAATAATCCCATGAGGTGGCATCTCTCAGGGTGCTTGTTTTACTGACAAAGAGACTGAGGTTCAGAGAGTTCATGTGATAGATACAAAATGGTGCACATGGCTAATTGCCAGAATCAAGGGCTTAAAACCAGATTCATCTGACATTAGAGCTCATAATCTTGATCTCTAGGCTGCAGACATGACCATGTTTATTTTCTACACACATACACTCCACATTATCAGTTAAAAGACCTGAACGTGACTCTCAGACTCACCACTTATGGGCTCAGCTTGTTTTTCTCATCTGCAAAATGGGAATAACAATAGGACCTGCTTTATTTCCTTTTCTTCATCCCCTCTGGGTGGGAGGGGGGGATTGAGAGGTTAATAAACATTACAGAATGCTGCATATATACTAGATTTGTAAGAGCAGAAGGACTCCAGGAAAGAAGGCCATGAACACTGCACTGGCTTTGCAAAACTTCTCAGACTCCGGGAAAGAAGATCACGAAGATTGCACTAGCTTTGCAAAACTTCTTAGACATGAGCAGTGGAGGGGGCTTGAGCTAAAACTAAAGGGCAGGTGAAATATGGGTGGGTTCAGGGAGGAGAAGACTGTTTCAGGTAGAGAGAGGACCACAAAAGTTCGGAGGCTAGACAAACAAGTTGTTGCACGCTAATGAAGAGGAATGTGAAGCATGTGCTCCTAGATTGATAATAATAATAACTACCATTTATTGAGCATTTAGGTGCTAAGCCCTTTGTTTTACATGCATTATTCTCTTTAATCCTTGCAACAACCCTACAAAGAGGTTGTATTATTATCTTTCTTTTATGGTTGAAGAAACAAATTTACGGGAGCCCCATCTGAAGCTCTGGCACTCAGATTTTAGAACCCAAACTCTTACCTACTATGCAATTGTGCTCCTGAATTCTGATTAAATGCTCCAATAATAAAAACTGAAGTAAGAGGCAGTGAAGTCAGTAGTGAAGCAAAAAGACTTGGGCCAGATGGCTTTGATGCCAACCTTGACACTTCCCTTTATTACTTGGGTAATCCTGGACAAGTTCTTCAGTCACCCGTCAGCCTCAGTTTCCTCATCTGTAAAGTGGGGATAACACAGTTCAACTCCTATGGTTGTGAAAATTACACAAATGGTCCATGTAACAGGGCTCAGAAATATGTCAGGGACAGAGTAAGCAATCAATAAACATTAGCCACCACTGGCTGGGAGCGATGGCTCATGCCTGTAATCTCAGCACTTAGGGAGGCTGAGGCAGGTATATCATGAGGTCAGGAGTTCAAGGCCAGCCTGGCCAATATGGTGAACGCCGTCTCTACTAAAAATACAAAAATTAGCTGGATTACAGGTGTGAGCCACAGCATCTGACCAAAAACTAATATTTAAAAAGTGTTGTACTTTATTCATTTATGCATCCCTGAAGCTGTAATTAGCACCCTACATGAATAGTGGTATCTTCACTTTGCAGTTCTTCTCTTGGTCACTAAACAGGATGTGGTCATCTGGTCCTCTGAGGTGAATTTTGCCATCTTCCCCCATTTGAGTCTAGGTGCAAGGGTTCAGTTTGAAAGAGGCTTCATTAGTAACTGGATAATTCTGTGGGAGGCCCCCAGCAATGGTTTGACCCTGCCGGGGAGTAATTCTAGGAAGGTAATGTGAGCTGGGGGAGGCTGGAGACCCAGCTTTACATTTATTTACCTTGACAGCTAAATTGGTGAGCAAGAGGGAAATCAGATGAAAGCCATTTCAGAGTAAATACTAAATATGAAATTTAAACATTCAGGTTGTGACAAATGGGAAAAGGACAATGGGAAGAGACATGGGCAAAACCCCCCTTCCAAGCCTAGGACCCTACACATCCCCTTCCTAGGTAATTCCTGTTTTAGGAAAGAGCACAGGATGGGGTACAAATTGTCTGACCCTAGGCCAGCAATTTACTTCTCCTGGTCTCAGTGTCCTTGTTTGCAAAATGTGCGTTTGAAACAGCGATGTGGAAGTGATGGCGAAGGCCTGGGAGTAAGACCACAAATCCCAGCCCAGCCACTTCCTGGCTGGCTGAACTTGGAAAAGTCACTTACCTAAACTTCATTTTTCTCAATATCAATATCTGGGACAATATCAATCTCAGAGGAGTAAATAAGATAATCAGTGTGAAAGGACTTTGAGAAGCACAAAGACTCTGGGGCCAGATGGCTTTGAGGCCAACCTTGGCACTTCCCTTTATTACTTGGGTAACCCTGGACAAGATCTTCAGTCACTCATCACCCTCAGTTTCCTCATCTGTAAAGTGGGGATAACAGAATTCACCTACCGAGGTTGTGAAAATTACGTAAATGATCCATGTAACAGGAATCAGAAATATTCCTGGCACACAGTAATCAATCAGTAAACATTAGCCGTCATTATAGGATGGACTGGTTGAATTTTCTGATTATTTTTCTGCTAGGTACCACATCAAATTCTTTGTGAAGGCAGGGGACAAATCAAAGCTTCAAAGTATATTGCAAAGTAATATTGCATTCCTCAAATCATATTGCAAATGTGAACAATTACAGTTACTGAAAGTCCCCTTCCAGGAAGTTTTGACGTTCACTAAGTAAGTTCAGGTCAGCAGACATTTCTGAAGGATTTACTCCATACCAGGTTCCATACTAGGCCCAGGAAATAGAGGAAGCTGTCCTTGTGTCCTTGCCTCTGCCCTTGAGGAGCCCACAGTCTATTAAGAGAGAAGAAAGCCAGCCACTCAGGGCAGTGTGACAGGTGCTAGCTACGAAGGGTGCAACAGAAGCAAGGAGGAGGGGCACTTAACCTGGCTTACAGGTGGTGGATCAGTAAAACATCCTAGAGGAAGTGACGTTTCATATACGTCCTGAAGGATGAGTAAGTATGGGACAGGCAAGCACTGAAGGGAGTTGGACCAGGATGAAGAGTGGCTGCCCAGTTAGTGTTTGCTGGGGCCACAAAGGGAGATGAGGCTGGTGAGGTAGATAGGAGCCAGATTGTGGGGGGCTGAATGTTCAAGAGTTTAGATTCATTTTGGAAGCTGGAGTCTAGAAGCCTCCAGTGCCATTGGAAGCAGTATCCTGGAGGGGTTGCACAGCACAGTGGTTAAGAATTCTGGGCTTGGAGCCAGGTAGCCTACATTAAAAACCTGACCCTATTACACACTGGTTGAGGGTACTGAAGGCAAGTCACAAACTCTATGAGCCTTAGTTTCCTCGACCATAAATAGGCATTAATAGATAACCCATTGACAAGTGCTGTGATGATACCAGATCACAGTGCATCTATGAGTTAAGGTCTTTGGCACTAAGAGCCATTGTTATCACTAAGATGAGGTAATGAGCACAGAGAAGGGACTAGCTAAGTGGAGATCTTCAAGGTGCTAGATGTTCCCTCCTCAGAGAATTCTACCCTGACCACACTATTAAAAATAAATCTCTGTATCGTTCCAATTTTAGTATATGTGCTGCCGAAGGGGAGAAGGAAAGAAAAGCACACTGCCATGTGTGTTCCTACGCAACTGTCTTGCATGCTCTGCTTATGTACCCCAAAACCTAAAATCCAATAAAAAATTAAAAAATAAATAAATAAAATAAATCTCCGCTATGAATCTTTTTCCAGCAGAGAGTAGATACAGCTTACAAATAGCCTCACAAATAGTATTCTATAGAATGCTAAGGAATTTGAACTTCAAAACAGGAACTATGAGGGTATACCAAAGGCTTGTAAGCATGGAGATCACATGGTGAAATTGGAGATTTGGAAAGATGATTTAAGTAATTGATTTGAAGATAGATTAGAAGGGGTAAGTACTTCATTGATTGGAACAATACTGAAGGTTAGGAACTAATAAGGGAGAAGGGATAAGGCAGCTGCAGGAACAAGGAGGATGAACAGAAAGAATAGAATTAAAAGTTTATCATTTTACTTTGTCATGTTATATACGATCATATATATATATGTATCTACAACACATCCAGTTTCCTAATCAACTTTTTTTTTTTTTGAAACAGAGTCTCATTCTATTACCCAGGCTGGAGTGCAGTGGCACCATCTCGGCTCACTGCAACCTCTACCTCCTGGGTTTAAGTGATTTTCGTGCCTCAGCTTCCCAAGTAGCTAGGGTTACTGGTGCGTGCTTCTGCGTTCAGCTAATTTTTTATTTTTGTTTTTTTGAGATGGAGTTTTGCTCTTGTTGCCCAAGCTGAAGTGCAATGGCCCGATCTCAGCTCACTGCAACCTCTACCTCCTGGATTCAAGTGATTCTCCTGCCTCAGCCTCCTGAGTAGCTGGGATTACAGGCATGCACCACCATACCCTACTAATTTTGTATTTTTAGTAGAGATGGGGTTTCTCCATGTTGGTCAGGCTGGTCTCAAACTCCTGACCTCAGGTGATTCACCCGCCTGGGCCTCCCAAAGTGCTGGGATTACAGGTGTGAGCCACCGTGCCTGGCCAATGTTTTGTATTTTTAGTAGAGATGTGGTTTCACTATTTTGCCTGGCTGGTCTTGAACTCCTGGCCTCAAGTGATCTGCCTGCCTCCACCTCCCAAAGTGCTGCTTTTACAAGTGAGAGCAGCCGCGCCCGGCCAACTTTATATACTAAGGTTATACATGTTATATAGAATCATATATATATAGAATATATGGTATAAACACATACATACATATGATATTATCAGCTATATAACATTTAGGAAACTGGAGATACCAGAGCGGAAAATGTCTAAGATAACTCTCAGATTTCAAATTTTTAAATAATTTTTTTCCAACGACATGGAACACAGGAGCAATTGAGGAAGGGCAAGAGGGATCAAGGAGCTCAGTTTTGAGTCAATGCACCAGGGGAATATTCAAGTGGAGGTGCCCAGGAGTGAACAGGACATATGGATCTGCAGCTCGGAAGACAGCCTGGATCTAGGAGAAGGAATTTCAGAGATATCAGGGTAGGGATCACAGCTAAAGCCTTGGGAGTGAAGATTTTACAGCAGCTGGAATTTACCTCATCTACAAGAAGAGAGTTGACTTCTTTGCTTTCTGGGAGGTAATTTGCCCCGGAAACTCATCTTATTTTTAGTGAGAATTGTTTCTTAAATTATAAAAGCACATCATATGTAGTAATAAGTGCTAAAACAGAACCAGGTAGTTAAGACACAAAAAGGCAATTAACTGCCTTAGGGGAATGAGCATGGGTGGGAAAATATGTTAGACAAGTGGTGGGGTGAGGGTGGGCAGTAGGGACTTCCCAGGTAGAAGGCACATCTTGTACAAGGACAGGGGGATCTGGGAGATTCCATCATGTTTGGGGTGCACAAATGGTTTAGTCTGGCTAGGAGAATGCCTAGTGGGACTGATTTGGAGAAGGCCTCATACACTTGGCTTAACCTATGGGTCTGGGTATTTGGAAGTATCTTAACTCCCTACTTAGATTAAATCTCAATTTCTTTCACCTCGGGCTTTGTTCTTTGTTCAACGTTCCCCTGAAACCCTTTACGCAGCTTATTAACTCAGGGAACATCACCTAAGCCACCACATCCCACTTCCAGCCTGGTCCCCATCCTCCAGCATCTTGTAGCTGCTGAGTCTTCCCTTTACATGGCACATCACAGTGCACAGGGCTCCGGCCTCATCATCTTCCCACCCTCCACACTTCGCACATGGCAAACGCCGTCTGTTTCAGGAATGAGTAACCTTCCTTCTGATGAGGTCACCTACCAGAAAGCTTCTCAAATGGGATAGGCCTGTTTTCAGAAGAGGAAAAACATAATTTGCTTCATTTTTTAAAGGCGAAATTTTAAAATTATACTTCTAGTTTAGAAAAGTCACAGGGCATGTAAAAATTAAACGTCATTTGGTATAATCAGTAATCCTAGCCCAATAAGGCTGAATGCAGAGGAAAGAAGATACAGACCTGTGTACTGGGATAAATTCTGACAGATTTGTATTTTTAATTTTTTTTCTTTTTAACCTGGGATTCAAGAGACCTCTCCAGAGACCACAAAGAAGAGCCTGCTTGAGAATGAAACTAACCCAGAGGAAAACACAATCAAGAGATAGACAGATTCCTAACTATATCATTGAACACCTGGACTTTTCAGTTACATGAGCCAGTACATGTTCTACCATAAGGGAGTTGGAGTGGGGTTTTTGTCACTTGAGCTGGGAGTACCGTAATCTGCTTACATAGTTGGGGCTACAAGTCTGAGGCAAGCATACCTGATGCCCAAGTTCTTACGGCCTTAGTTTCCTCAGAGGGACAGTAAGAGCCCACATTGATAGCCCTAAGCAGTACAACAATGCCACTAGCCTGGCATAGCCAGTTCTCTGTCCCAAAACATGTATAAGGGGTCAGGAACACTGACTGAGGAATATTTAGTGCACATCATTCTGTCACCTGTTGCTTTTATTCTCTGCATTAACACCAGAATTTTGACCCTACAATGGTTTAGAAAAGACATTTCCAGTATTGGAATGCAGTTTACCTTAGGGCTTGACAAATTTTTCCTGTAAAGGGACAGATAGTATATTCTTTAGGTTTTGCAGGCCACAGTCTTCATTGCAGCTATTCAAGTCTCCTATTATATGGGGAAAACAGCCTCATGTAAATGCCTGGGCATGCCTGTGTTCTAATAAAAGTTACTTTATGTATACTGAGATTTGAATTTCCTATCATTTTCATGTCACAATATAGTATTTTTTAAAACTTTTTTTCTCAACCACTTGAAAATGGGGGAAAAAAAACCATTCTTAGCTTGTGTGCTATACAAAAAGGTGGTAGAGGTCAGTTTGCTGAACACTGGACTAGATACTTGCAGGCCTGGGTTCTACCTAAAGCTCTCCCATTAACCAAGTGACCCTGGCCAAGTCACTTTGTCCCTCTGGGTTCCCATTTTTCCCATCTGGACAATGAGGGGGCTATATATGAGATGGTATCTAAAGCCCCTTCACTCTCAAGTACCAGAATTCCTGTAGTTCATTCAACAACTATTTATTGAACATGTATGATGTACAGCCATTGTTTTAAATGCTGAGGGTATAGCAGTGACACAGTTCCTGCTTATATGAAACTTACATTGCAATAAAAAGAGACAAAAAAATTTAGATATAATGTTGGTTAGAGCTAAGTGCTTTTTAGAAAATGGTGAGGAAAGGATTGGAGAATGACTGGGTTGTACTTTTAACAGGGAGGCCAGGGACTGCCTCTTGATTATTAACATTTGAGCAGAGAGACATGAGTCAGGTGAGGAAGTGGGCTCTGTGGCTATCTGGAGAAAGAGCATTCCAAGCTAAGCTAAGGCAACAGCCAATGTAAATGCCTTGAAGCAGCTCCCTTGTATTCAAAGAATAGCAAGAAGGCCAGTGTGGCTGGACCACAGTGAGTAAGGAGAGAACAGTAGGCGATAGGGTCAGACATGTAGTAAGGGACAGGTCATTAGGGCCTTACAGGTCTTTGAATTTTTTCTAGGTGTGATGAAAAGCCACCAAGAGAATGACATTTTAAAACAATTACTTTGGCTACTGTGTGGAGAATGGACTCTAAAGAATCAATATTGGAGGCAGGGAGATAATTAGGAAGGTATTACAATAGTCCAGGGAAGAGATGATGGTGGCTTTAACAAAAATGGTAGTAGTGTGGAGGTGGTGAGATGGCTGGGATCAAGATGCATTTGGAAGGTAACAGTTGACAGGATTTGTTGAAGGACTAGATAGGAGCTGGAGAGAAAAAGGGAAACAAGGATAAACATGCTGAGACTAAATCATATTTTAGGAACAAATGATTACATATAGGAAATGTCTGACATTTAATTTATAAGGCAAGAATTACTCCTGTCCTTTTATATAGTAGTATGAAAGAATCACAAATATATTTGTTGATTCAGAAATTGTACATATCTTAATAAACAAGAGGGAGCTACAGAATACTTGGTTCCATACAACTTGTGCTACTGAGTTTTGACACCCTTTGTTTTTGTTTGAGATGGAGTCTCACTTTGTTGCCCAGGCTGGAGTGCAGTGGCACAATCTCAGCTCAATGCAACCTCTGCCTCCAGGGTTCAAATGATTCTTGTGCCTCAGCCGACACACTTTGAAAAATCTTTGCTCATGTGATACTCCTCCCCAATGCTGAGACGCCAATTATAGAAAATCAGCTGGTTAGAATTACATTTTCATTTGATAAAATAGGAATTGAGATAAAAAATAGTTCATACCTCTCTCCTCAATATTTCCTTCAATTCTTCACTCTTGTATATAAACCCAAATTATAAGTAACATAATTTTAGCAAACTGAAAGAATTAACCAGTAAACCAAATAATAATTTTACTTAAAGTACAGAGAACCTTATAACAAAGAGTTGAACAAGTTAACACCTGATATTTAAAAACCTTTTGTCAGAGTGCTTTCAGCATGTTTATGATACATATATTTATTCCTTTGAAGTCTCTATGAGAGACTAAACACAGTACGATACTTGCAGAGATTCCATTAACAACTTCTTTTCAAATAGTGACATTTGCGATGGAAACAGCTGACCTCTCTTCTTATCTCTAACAACAGAGGTAGGCAGGCATAAAGGGTAAAGAGAGTTGCCTCTGAGTTTGACTCTCTAGCCAGAGCCCTCTGCAGAGAAGGCACTTAGAAGCAGCACCCCACCTGGACATGCCGGCCCGAGTCCTGAGTGGAAACGAGCCTGCCAGAGAACTGCAGTCTATGCCAGTAAATGAATGAGAGAAAATATAATCACATATACACTGTTTTACATTTATTCACACAGAGGGATAAGAGTCAGTACAAATAATAAACATTGCTTTAAATACACATAAATAGCTCTGGTTTCTAAAGAAAACAACTCTATATATAATTCTAAGTTTTTTCTAAGTTCCTATTAAAAATAGAAGACTATTTTGCATTATGTAAGTTCTACTCCACCATAACCCTTTGAAGACTTACAGATAAAATGGTGAATTCTATATGCCAAGAAGTCACCAGAAAAATGGGAGATAATGCTCCTACCTCTCTGAACTATCCTCCAAATAGGAGAAGAGTTACTTGTATCATAGACAGACCCAGCTAATAAAGTATTTGATATCTAGAGATATTTAAAAAGAGTCACCTTGGGAGAAGTAATAAACACTTCATCGAACCAGTTTTATGAATTCTAAAACCTCCCTCTATGATGTTTTGATTCAAAGGTCTTAAATTCATTTACACTCATGGGAAGATGTTAAGTTCCTACAATGAAAGCTTCCTTTTGCTAAGGATGATAGTGATACACAGTCTGTAATCACCAAGGGCACCTGGAGTAACTAAGTGATACATACCTGGTAAAGAAGCAAAGGTGCTACCCAATTAAACAGTACATCAAACTTGGCACCAAAATGACCAAAATGTGAAGAAATACCTCCCCAAATCTGTCGGTTGACTTATCTTTCTCTATTGTTATATTTAGAACGCTTAGAGTGACAAAAATATCCAGAGGCAAGTATGTTCTCCAAGTGAAGAACCATTTTCAAATCATGTAGTCTTTTAAAACTACCTATCACACTGTAGTCTTGGTGCCACAGCAGTGTCTGCTCCACTGACTTTTGGTGCCCGCTGCAGGTCCCCTTCTTGTCTGGCACAAGATGATGCAATCTCTTCCACTACACAATTATTAGAAAATTGTGTGTTTGATAGTGACCAATATAGCAATGTTGAGGTTTTCAAAAAAACTTTGCTTCTATTTAGACTGACCATGATACAATTCCAAACAGAACATTTTCATGCTATAAAAACAATCCCATGCAATAAATGCAATTTTAAAAGTCCCATAATAGCAACAGGTGGTGTTATAGAAGGCTTGGTTATTTAGATTTGAAAAAAAATGATTGCTATAGAATAAAAGTTCAATTTCCAAGTAGAACCTCTGTTGTGGTATAAAATGTTACATTTGATTCTAGTTTTGTCAACCCAAACTATTTTAAGATATACACCATGTTTTCCTAATTGGGATTTTGAAACAATAAGCATAATGCATAAACAGATTACTACAACATTCGTTCAAAGAATCAGGTCCCTTTTGCCAAGAACTTTCTCTTTTTCAGTCCAGTTGGAGGGATTTCCATAGCAAATTCTGAAACAGTTCTGAACATGATTTAAAAATCTGTCTCTCACTTTCCTCCCTGTCTCTTACTTTTTCTTTATGTTGTAAAGACACATAAGCATAGAAAATGCTCAACTTTTGGGCATGGTGGCGCATGCCTGTAATCCCAGCTACTCAGGAGGCTGAGGCAGGAGAATTGCCTGAACCCAGGAGGCGGAGGTTGCAGTGAGTCGAGATCGCACCATTGCACTCCAGCCTGGGTCACAACAGTGAAACTCTGTCTCAAAAAAAAAAAAAGAAAAAAAAGAAAATGCTCAACTTTTTAGTAGACGTTAATATATTTAGTTGCCTGATTTAAATAATAACATTTTATGTATTTGCCATTTGCTCTGGCACATTATAGAATGTTTCTGGAGTTACAAATCCAAACAAACCAGCCAATTAGAGCATCCCAGGGTTCAAATCACTATTTGGGATACAATCCTATTTATTCTGGATGATGCTCAATTCCATACATAGTTCAGGGAAGAAACATCCATAAGAACATCCAAAAACATTGTTACCAAACGCTAACATGTGATTGTGCTCTGTTGAATAGTACCATTCACATCTACAAAGTACAAAGGCAGACAATTTTAGGTGTGAAGACCAATTTGCTTTTGCTGCTACAGTAATTCACAACCATCATCTTCGAGATTTCCATGCTGTTCTAGAATATGGAGTAGTCCTTTTTTTATCCGGTGGTTTAAAGTAGGAGTAAACAGGTGCTGCTGGATACTCTGCATCAGGATTTTCTGCCATCATTTTCAGTTTTGCTTCAATGGCTTTTATCTTTGCAGTGACACTGGAAAAACAACAGCAGAGGATCAGAGTGGACCTAGGTACACTTAGAAAATACCTGTAGAGTTCATCTCCTTAAGCCTCTTGGGAATATTAGAGAAGCAACAAAATACTAAATTACAAACATTTAAACATTTCATATAAAAGCCAGAAATAACTAATACTCTCATTCTAAGAAAGAGGTAAAGTCTGAGCCATCTATTAAATTTTTAACATGAGCCTAGGCATTGTTAGGAGTACTTAATATGGTTTTACATTTAATCCTCAGATATAGACTCTGTTCAGCACCTTAGTACTTGGCAGAGAGTAGGCACTAAAAATAATTCTTGTAGAATTGAAAACAATATTATTATATGTTATATTCTTTATTTTACAGATAACAGGCATAGAAAGGTTCATTTGACTAATGTTACACAGTGAGAGAGTGAGAGCAGAGATTTGAATACAAACTGACTCAAAAAGCCCAGGTTTCACCTGAATCACTGAATAAAAATGGAAAAAAGAAAACATTCTGGAAATTCTATTCAGTTTCTTTTTACTGATGAAGATGTGTTAATAAAAGCTATCATTTACAAAGTGCTTACAGTGAGCCAGGCACAGTGCCCAGCATTTTACTTACATTATTATTATTATTTTTTTTTGAGACAGGTCTTGTTCTGCCAAGGCTGGAGTGCGGTGGTGCCTTCATAGCTTACTAAAGCCTTGAACTCCTGAGCTCAAGCTACCCTACTGCCTCAGCCTCCGGAGTAGCTAGGAATACAGGCACACACCACCACAACCAGCTGATTTAAGAAAATTTTTTTTGTAGAGATGGAAAATCACTATGTTGTATGGGCTGGTCTTGAACTCCTGGTTTCAAGTGATCCTCTTGCCTCAGCCTCCCCAAATGCTGGAATTACAGGCATGAGCCACTGCACTTGACCTACTTATAAGGTCTGTAATCCTTGAAATAGCTCTACATGGGTTATCATCCATGTTTTATAGATGCAGAAACAAATGCAGAGGTAGTGATATAACCAAGGTTCACACAGCTAACAAATTGCAGAGTGAGGATTCAACTCATCATCAAAGCCCTCATTTTTTTCTTCTCCACCCGATTAAGAGCAAAATAGTCCTATACTACACAGGAAGGGTGAGGAGATGCTAGAGAAGTGGGGAATTTGCTTTTGATTGAGGTCATTGCTATCCCTGGACCAGAATGCAAAACACTTAGGCAGCAGGTAGTTTTTGGCCTGTGGCTACCTTCCTTTTCCATTCTTGATGCTGTTAATGGTCTATATAGCCAGTGAGAGAAACTTGCAAGGAGTGTATACATGGCCTTTTGGAGATCCTCAAAAGGTATACATGGGCAAGAAATTTAAAAACTAAGTTACAATAAAAAGAACACTTATGTATTACTGAGATGCATTCTGGCCCTCTTCCATTAATGGCACAGCCAGTCACTGATTTTATACAAGTCACAGGGAAGCAACCTTCTCTCATTAGGCATAATGTTAATAGAGAGATATAAGCTGAGGTACTCCAGATAAAAACATAGATGGAAAACCTTAGGCTATCTTGTAAACAAGTGGCATACACAAATCATAAGAAACTTGTTTGTTGTAATATGAAGACCATCAAGCATAAATGCAGTCATCTCTTTCCAATAGGAGTTAGATTTATGACAACCTTCATGGAAGTCAATCTATGATCAAGGAGTTCAAATCTTATGAGAAAAATAACACAGTGGATATATGTTCCCAGTGAATCTACACAAGTCACTTAATTCCCTGGAGCATAAAATAAAAACAAAAATCATAATATTAAACTTAAATGAGTAACTATAAAATTAATTTAAATGTACCAATTTATCATTCCTGAAACTTTTAGGACTACCTTCCCTTGCAGTTGAATGAGATGCTTATAAATCTGTTTTGTCTGGTGCACATAATACACACTAAAGGCATTTAACCCCCTACTTGGTGCTCTGCCCTAATAAGCATCACTTTCCCGACTTTAGAATTGTTGGTTTTGATCCTTATGTATCACTGATGCTCCTTCACATATTTTCTTCCCCAGCCCCAGAACAGGCTTTAGAACTGCAGTCCTGAATTTACGGCCTGGAGCTTCTTTGACGTAGTAACTAAAAGACTGAATTTTGAAGTCTAATAGACCTGGCTTTGAATGCTGACTCTGTTATTTGCCACCTGTGTGATCTCAGCCATAGTAAATGACATACTTCACATGAGTGTTCAGCAAAGTGCCTGCTTCCTAGTAAGCTCAATAAATCCTGGTTATTGCTATTGTTATTGCTAAAATTTCTCCCTAGGCTACAATGCAAAACAAAATAAGAAACAAACAAACAAAAAACCCACCTTCTACTTCTGCCCAACCATCCACTTAACTTCCCCTTTTTCTGCCCAACCCTTAGTTCTCCTGTTTTAAACTCCAAAGAAATAACTAACAATTCGTACGAAAACTGTTATGGCCACTGCAATGGTACACAGAATCAAACATCTGCAAACTAAAATTCTGTATAAGGTAACTTAAGATTGGGGAGAAATTAGTCTATGACAAATGCCAAAGAGACCCAAGGCCTTATTAAAATGCTTGTTTTTAGAGTAATAACTGATCTGCCTTTGTATCCTCAGTGCCAACCACAAGGCTTGGTGTGTAGTAGCTATACCCAGTTTTTTTACGAGAATGAACTCTGTAAACCAGGAGTACATGATCTTAGGTGGACAGAAGGAGAGGAAATGTATACATTCTGGAAATTAACTGAGCATCTCTCTCAATAGGTCAAGTTAATAAATTCTAAGAGTCTGAAGACTCACTATTTTATGAAGACATGGTATGAGGCAATGGCTGAAGCTCCTGAATTACTGTCTTTCTATAGTATACCATCTTACCTTAGGTTAGATTGAGTAGGCTCAGTGCTTGAGGATGGCTCAAGGCTGATTGGAAGAATCTTATCATTCTTGTTATGATCGTATCTCTGAAAATGAGAAACAGAGAATTACTTCATTTGGGCAGAAACCAGCCCTTTACTGTAGTGCATGGGTTCAGAAACTAATACCATCAGTGTATCATCAGCTTACTTCTAGACCATTTTAGGACCACTTTACATTTAGAATTAAAGAAACACTTCACACAGTTTTGGCCTAAAAGTTGTAAGTTTAGAAAAAGAAGCTTCCATCTAGCCATCAGTTCCTCCTTATTTGGTAGGAAAAAAATGTCAACTTTCAATTTCCCAGATGGTACAAACACACAGGAGGGTTGCCTTCTTATATTCTTGTTTTAACTGTCACATATCACCTCTTACAATATTTATTGCATTAAAAATACTTTAAAGTGGCCAAGCATGGTGGCTTATGCCTATAACCCCAGCACTTTGGGAGGCCAAGGTGGGCTGACTGCTTGAGCTCAGGAGTTCGAGACTAGCTTGGGGAATATGCAAAAACCCTGTCTCTGTTTAAAAACAAACAAAAAACAAAAATTAGCCAGGCAGGCAAGCTGGCACATGCCTGTAGTCCCAACAACTCAGGAGGCTGAGGTGAGAGGACTGCTTGAGCCTAGGAGGCAGAGGTTGCAGTGAGCCAAGATCTTGCCACTGCCCTCCAGCCTGGGTGACAGAGCCAGACCCTATCACAAAAAACAAAAAAACTTTAAATTTTGCAAAGTAACCACCAAGCATGATATTTAACTCTTAACAGTCCTGAGTGGAGAATACAAGTAGTAATAACTTTCAGTTGTTGATACAGACAACATTCTACAGAAAAGTAGTAATTTAATTTGATGTCAGATAATTACATAATTCTTTTTTTTTATTTTAAATTTTATCAGAAAAAATAAACACAGGGCTTCCCTATGTTGCACAGACTGGTCTTGAACTCCTGGCCTGAAGCGATCCTCCTGCCTCAGCCTCTCAAAGTGCTGGGATTACAGGCATGAGCCTCCATGCCTAGCCAGATAATTACATACTTCTTGTAAAAAGTAAATATAATACTGAAGAGCAATCAAGAGCTTCTGGTCAAAAAAGATTTATAGGAGAAGAGAACCGTGAAGCACAAAGATTTTCAAATGGAAGACAGGAATGGAGGATGATTTCTCTTGAACACCTTTTCATTTTTTTTTTTTTTTTGAGACGGAGTTTCGATATTGTTACCCAGGCTGGAGTGCAATGGCACGATCTCAGCTCACCGCAACCTCCGCCTCCTGGGTTCAGGCAATTCTCCTGCCTCAGCCTCCTGAGTAACTGGGATTACAGGCACCCGCCACCATGCCCAGCTAATTTTTTGTATCTTTAGTAGAGATGGGGTTTCACCATGTTGACCAGGATGGTCTCGATATCTTGACCTCGTGATCCACCCGCCTCAGCCTCCCAAAGTGCTGGGATTACAGGCGTGAGCCACCGCGCCCGGCCTATCTTGCATACCTTTTCAATGAGATGCAGAACAAGAAAACGGGTTTAGCAAATGAGACTTGATTTTTCCCTTGAGTAAAAAAGCATTTGGTGATTCTCCTTGTTGTTCTATTTTTAAGGCAATGTGTCCTAGAAATTGAGAAGGCTCTGTGATTACCTGAAATATTCAGAAGGATCTAAAGTATCTGTACTTTGTTTTTCAGCTTGGACATTGAGCTTAAATGTCTGTTTAGTCTCTGTGACTCTTTACTGGGAAGTTTGTAGAGAGTTTCTGATAAAAAACCACGTTTAGAGCTAAAGACTTCAGCTCTAACTCAAAACTGTCACAAATCTTTGTGCAGGTAGGTTTGTCAAGTCCGCACTGCAGAAGGAGGCAGATCAACTCTTGGGACTGCTCCAGTCAACACACTTTACCACCTCTGTGCCAGCTGGAACAGAATGCCATTTGTTTTGTTTTTGTTTTTACTGACTGAAGCTTTTCTAGTGTATTCTCCCAAGACACTAATTACAGAATGAACAGGGCAGACTGCTACTTCTCAGGACTTAGACACAATGCAGGCACTGCAAAGTCACTACAAAGTCCCATGAACCCACACCCTAGTTACTCTCAAGATTTCTGGAGTAAGGAGATGGCAGTGCTTTCAGCAATCATACATTTCTCAAGCATTTAGAATAAACAAATTCAAACTCTCCACTGAGTCAGAGGCTGGGAAGAGTCTAATAATGCCCACAGCAACTGATTTTAAAAATAAATACATTTTTTCCTCCAAAGAACAGCCCTCCACCAAAAAAAAAAAAATGACAGAGGTCTGAGCATACACATTAGCCACATGAGAAACTCAATCAGAACCAGGATCTGTGGGCATGTGGAGAGAAATTACCAAGGAACTTAATCCCTCCTGAGATTTCCTCAAAACAAAAATCTGGCAACACGCACGGGAAATACAAGTAGGAGACTGAAGTATGGCTGTTTCAGGCGTGAGGAGGTTGGGATATAAACGGGTAAGTGGACAACTGTCTTTCTAGCCTCTCAGACATACCTTTACTTGAGCATGTGCCCATCGCACCACCAACTTCTTGGACAGGGCCAGCTTGCCATTGAGACACTGGATGGCTTGTTCTGCTTCCTGTCCAGGAAAGAAACAAATGTTAGTTAAAAACTGAAGTGCTTGACTAGCTACATGTATTCTCACATGGCCTCACAAGCTTTGATTGCTGAGTTTCTAATCAAATTGTTTTTGGTAAATAACTGGCAAGGGTTTACAATTTTAAAAGGCAGAATTTTTAAAAAGGCATGAGTTTTTAAAAGCCAGTCAGACAAAAATTCAAATCCTGGTCTGTCATTTGCTGGCTATGATATTCGGAGGTCACTTAAGTATCTCTAGCTTTGTTGTCTGTAAAATATGGATAATTTTTTTAATGGATAATATGGATACCTATTCCTCAGTGGTTGTGAGGACTCAAAGAATGTATGTAAGGATGGGGCATATGATATACACTTAACATATGTTAGTAATAGTGCTGTTCCTATTAGGTAACACCTATATTCACATTTCTGTTAGTTAGGTAGCACCTCCTATGTCAAGAAACTGTACTCCCCAAAGGGTCCTGGAACCATAACCTGGACTAGGGTGTACTCCCTGGATTCATAGTGAGGAGTAAGTAACTGCTTTAAAGGGCATGGAAGGAAACTAGGCCGGAAAAAGCAGGAGTGAGTCAAAGAGACTGTGGGCAAGGTATCTGTGTGAGTCAATGTACGCACCTGGTTTTCAGAATCAAAAGTTCCTTGACCCTTTCCCCATCAGACACAGGAGTAATAAGGTTGAAAGGAATTCCTGAAGCTGGCTAACAGTCACTCTAGGTCATTTCCAGGAAATCTGGCTGTACTTTCCATCCTGCCGAACCTCCTTTGCCCCATTTGTATCCATGAGGCATTTGGACAAGTGTAACCCATGTTTAGTGAGGGTGAAGAAGCCCTTAAGGAACAGAGGAGAAATAGGATGTCCCGGGGAGCAGGGAGAGCCTATAGAAGCCGGTAGGCATTCTAGTTTGGTTTTACTGGTGATTCTCTAGTTCCTCCAGAACCTACCAGTATGACATTTAACAAATATTTACTGAGTTCTCACTGTGTGTCAGGCATTGGATATTCACCAGTCATCCTCACCCAACTACAGCACACAGAGCTAGAATGACAGGTAAAAAACATTTTATTCTTTTAAGCTTCTCTTGGTGAATAAGAACTTATAGGGCACTCTATTAGTTCCAAAGTAGCAGCAGTAATAAATTGCTCGCAGGTGTTTTTTAAAAATAATTTCCTACCTATATACATTATTTCAAATTTCACGTATTCAAAAATACTATTAAATGCCAACTAGGTTTTCTTATACTTTCATCTATTCTCCCAACTTCCTGTAAGGTAAGAAGGATATGTATTCTTAACCTCCATTCTTAGATGGAAAATCGAGGCCAAAAGAGGTTAAAAGACTTGCTCAAAGTTAATAAATAAAAGAGCCAGAAATAAAAACTAGGCTTTGTATTTTAATCCAGTGTTTTTAAGCCAACATCTATGTCCAACATGACCACTGGATTTAGTTGTCTGCAGCAATTCCCAGGCCAGGTACAGTGGCTCATGTCTGTAATTTCAGCACTTTGAGAGGCCAACATGGGCAAACTGCTTGAGCCTAGGAGTTTGATCAACCTGGCAACACGGTGAACCCCAGCCTCTACAAAAAAAAATACAAAAATTAGCCAGTGGGTAGTGTGTGCTTGTGGTCCCAGCTACTTGAGAGGCTGAGATGGGAGGAATGCTTGACTCCAGGAGGCTGAAGCTACATTAAGCTGTGATCGTGCCACTATACTCCAGCCTAGATGACAAAAAGACCCTGTCTAAAAAAAAAAAAAAAAAAAAAAAGAATTATCACCACACTTTATCATTAAGAAAGAATAAAGTATTTAAAAATGCTGGTCAGGTGTGGTGGCTCACACCTGGAATCCCAGCACTTTGGGCGGCCGAGACAGGCAGATTGCTAGAGCCCAAGAGTTTGAGGCCAGCCTGGGCAACATGGTCAAACATTGTTGCTACAAAAAATGCAAAAATTCCAGTGGGAGGGGGAGGTGGGGAGGGATTGCCAGGGGAGAAATACCAAATGTGGGTGAAGGGGAGAAAGCAAACAAAACACACTGCAATGTGTGTACCTATGCAACTGTATTGCATGCTCTGCACATGTACCCCAAAACCTAAAAAGCAATAAAAAAAAAAAAATGCAAAAATTAGCCAGGCGTGCTGGCATGTGCCTATGGTCCCAGCTACTGTGGAAGCTAAGGTGGGAGGATCACTTGAACCTAGAGGTCAAGGCTGCAGTGGGTCATGACTGTGTCACTGCACTCCAGCCTGGGTAACAGAGCAAGAACTTATTTCAAAAAAGAAAAAAAGAATGCTAATTCTATAGTGCATTATTTCGCTTCCCTCAAAATACTTGAACGATTACTTACTGGCTATCATATTTACAAAAATTAGAGGAAATAAAAAAATACCCAGCACTGGCAAGGAGAAATGACACTATTACAGTCTCAGAACATACTGATACATCATTTCTTGAAGGCAATTTGGCAGTTGTATTAAGAAAAACTATGCATGGACTTTGATGATGCCACTCCATCTCCACAAATGTGGCAAATATACATAATTAGAACTGTAAAAATACTCTTGTGATATTTATACTAGTGAATCAACCCAAATACCAGCAAAACAACCCAAATAGCTAACAATTGGGGACTAGTCAAATATCATATATTCACATTATGTAGTCATCAAAAATGATTAGTTTTTAAATGCAGTCTAAGTCACATACAATAAAATGCCCAAATCTCAGATACAAATCAATGATTTTATACACACACACACACACATACACACACACACGTACATACAAACACCAATGAAGCCACAATATCAGGATACAGAATGTTATCTTGATGTGATAATATGGTAGAAAAATTTTAGTATACTTTGAATGATAAATGTGATAATGATTCTATCTGTGCGTTAAACACTGTCTATGTGTTTGTGTGTGTGTGAATGTGAAGAGACCAAAAAAGACTGAAAAGACATATGACTAAACATTAACAGTGATTATTTCTGGGTATTAGATCAAGTAATTTACATTTTCTTTCTCAGTTATCTATATTTTCATCTATAATATTCACACATTACTTTTAGAATAAGAAAAACACTCATACAAATTATTATCATTACTATTATCATTAAGCGATGGAGTCTTGCTCTGTCGCCCAGGCTGGATGGCGTATAGTGGTGTGATCATAGCTCACTGCAGCCTTGAATTCCTGGGCTCAAGCAATCCTCTTTTCCTCAGACTCCTAAGTAGCTAGGACTACAGGTGAGCCATCACACCTAATTAAAAAATTCTTTTTTTAGAGACAAGGTCTTACTATGTTGCCCAGGATGGTCTCAAACTCCTGGGCTCAAGCAATCTCCCCATCTCAGCCTCCTGAGTAGCTGTGATTACAGGTGTGAGCCAGGCCTAAATTATTAACATAACGATAACAATGCAATGTTCTTACATATGACGAATACAATTATAGAGTACCATGCAGCATCTCTACATTTAGTAATAATCAAATTCAATTCCTTTATCAATGCACTTCTACTTCAAGGACTAAATTTTAATACAAGGAGATCCATGTATATACCATGGTCGAAGGTAAATGCTCTCTTCCACATATATTAAAATTTATATGTATTTGTTCTGAGACCTTGAGAAGAAATAACAAAAGAGTCTTTGTGGGTGTCTCATCACAGATAGGTTTCTGTACCACTGGGCAAAACTACTGAAAGCAAAGAAGGCTTTGTCCGTTAGCCAGCCAGTAAAGGAACGAACAAAAGAGAATAGGGAGGGAGATGTCCATGTGCTCAATGTGGGCATCCTAATGCATTTGGTCAAAAATGTAGGTCTTAAACCTTGGCCAAGGGAGGGTAAATTGTGAAAGTTATTCACGAATTCATTTGTTTATTGAGGACGACCTCTTTTAGGACTCAGTGTAAGGCACATAGATGAATCAGACATGGCTCCTGCCTATAGGGAACTTCTATTCTAGTAGGCAAGAGAGATGCACAGATAATTATGACAGAGCTTGATAAATACTATGAAATGGGGAGAAAGCTCAATTACCTGCTTAGTTTCAAAGTTAACAAAACAGTAGCCTCGAGGCTGTCCCTCCAAAGCGCCTGACTTGTGGAAGAGGAAGTCAAATTGCTTTACCTTGCCAAACTTCTGGAGGAGTTTGAGGAGGTGGTATCTGCAGAGAAAGAAGAGCCCATGAGTATGCTCTGGGAATTCTTTTGAACACTCAGCCTGAAGTGCGAGATAAAAGCAGGAGATAATTTACCCGAGGGATAAAATCTCTCACCCCAGCCCCCTGCCCTCCTCCAAACTGCTATGTTAGTTTATTTGGCAAACAGAGTTGTTTGTCTCTATTTGGAATGGGAACTAGAATTGTCATGGCTATGCATCTGTCCAACACAAAAATACCAAACAAAAACCCCACACCTTACAAACAGCTGTCTGGCCTACGAGCACTATTTGTTTTTCTTTTGGAGAAAAGCTCAAAAATAGTGTTGATTTATTTATTTTTAATTCCTTGGCAGTGAAATGGCATTTGTGAATAACTGTAACTCCATCAGAAATACACATCAACCCTTCAAAAGCCAAAGCCTACCCTATTTCAAAAATAAAGTAACAAACATATATGCATTCATGCAAACAAACAAACAAAAAATAGTCCTGGAAGATCTTCCTATTCGATTATGTAGTTAATTCCTAGACACACATTGGCGCAGTGAGAAACTCTGCCATTAATCAAGTCACACCTAGTGATACTTCCACAGCACTTGTGAGTTTCAATCACTGATGTGACTGAACATTAGGACAATGTGGAATTACTACATGACTGAGGCCAGTTTCACAAAGGTCAGGGGAACCTGGCCAGTCCAATAAACCATTCAGCTATGGGTAACTAACCAACCTCAGTTGCCTTAACACAGTTTATACTCTAGGGTATGGTGAAGTAAAGAATACAGATGGTCAAGGAAGAAATTTATTCCTGACAGGATGTTCACTCCAAGCGATTGCTTGCCACTCTGCCCCTCATCCTCTTCTTAAATTCCTTACTCGGTTTCCATAGAGCTTTTAAGTTATTCAAACAGATGTGGCCTTAACAGGTTGCTGTGGCCAATCTCAATTCCGACTTCCTGTCATCTGATGTGGGGGTGAGACAAACCAACAGCTCTCCCGTTTCCTTTCCCTTTGGCCTTCCTCCTGGCATCCTCCGTGCTATTCAAATGGAGTCAAGGCTTTCTCTAAACAATGCTGTCCCTGTGATACTAAAAAGGTATCAGCCCACATGCTAAATCTGTTATTACTGGGAAGTCTACCCCACAGGGAGTCAGTAAAGTTACATTATAGCCACATTTATATTCACATTGTTTTCTAAGAGAAACTCATCAAAATTTTATCCTTGAGTAAGTCTCTCCTTTGGGAGGCAGAAAGATATGAAATGGACCATACACTATACTAAATTTGATACTAATGCACATCAACAAGCAAGTCCATTATCCTGGATTGAGTGTCTGACACAGCGGAATAAGAAAGACATAATACAGGTTTAGTACTGGGACAACTGCAAGGCTCCCAAGGCATATTGTGGATGTTACTCTGGTTTATTTTGAAAGGTAAAACAACCATGATCCCCTACTTTCTAACTTCCCAACTCCCATCAGGACACCTCAACCACTAGAGAGAATGTAGGAAGTGACTTCAGGGGAAAGGAAGACACCTTAAGTGCAAACCTGTGGTTTTACTTGACGTTATGAATAGGCTTACTGCAAGGGTGAGTCTTTCACACATACAGAGGGGCTAGAATAATCTCCCCCAGGGTCCTTAATTCACAGCTACATCTTCCAATTACTAAACCCATTCAAATCTTAACACCGTGCCAGTTGCCACAGAATGGGGAGTCAAACCGATTCTTAAAAAAAAAAAAAAAAAATGGCTGGGTGCAGTGGCTTATGCCTGTAATCCCAACATTGGGGCTGAGGTGGGCAGATCATGAGGTCAGGAGATCAAGACAATCCTGGCCCACATGGTGAAACCCCGGGAGGCTGAGGCAGGGGAATCGCTTTAACCTGGGAGGCAGAGGTTGCAGTGAGCCGAGATCACGCCACTGCACTCCAGCTTGGCAACAGAGCAAGACTCCATCTCAAAAAAAAAAAAAATCTAGGCCAGGCACAGTGGCTCATGCCTATAATCTCAGCACTTTGGGAGGCCAAGGCAGGCGGATTGCCTGAGGTCAGGAGTTCGAGACCAGCCTACCTAACATGATGAAACCCTGCCTCTACTAAAAATACAAAAAAATTAGCTGGGCATGGTGGAATATGCCTGTAGTCCCAGCTACTTGGGAGGCTGAGACTGGAGAATCACTTGAATCCGGGGGGCGGAGGTTGCAGTGAGCAGAGATCGCGCCACTGCACTCTAGCCTGGGTGACAGAGCAAGACTTAAAGAAAAAAAAAATCTAAGGCTACTGTGGGCTGGTCATCTTTCATTAGCTCCATTCTGCTTAATAGCAGGAAGGTAACACGATTGGCATTTCCTAAGAAATGAATTTTAATTTACTCAGAAAAAAAACACACCAACAAAAGATTACTCTTTGTAAAGCTAACAAACACAATCTGCCCAAGAAGTGCGACCTTAAGATTCCAGGAACATCTGCTTAGGTCTGTGTCTTTCAACTTCTCCAGGATTTCTTTTCTTGTTTGATAATTTCTTAAAATTATCGGAACACCGAAACAAAAGGAATGAAATGTTTACTATTTTGCTTCCTGGAGATGGGGACTGCAAGCTCTGATAGTGAAAAAAGCATGAAGGATCTTGCTTTCACATCTGCAAGCACTTTTATCTGCTGCTGAAGTGCGGAGAGCACACTACTCAGCAGAGGCTTGCTTCTCTTAATGAAATGTGCGCCCTGCAGCCTTCAGGAGCTAGAAAATTAGCACACCAGTCCCACACATATATCTGCAATTTAATCAGTGTTTTCTGTAATTGGTTTTTAAGACAGCTTTTCTGCCTAATAGCACAGAAGTAATTAATCTATACAAATGTTAAAATAGGTATCTACAATGTGTCTAGAGCCAAGCAGGCATATGGAGTATGCAGATGAATAAAACTAGGTTCCTGCCTTCAAGGACCACACATTCTAATTGAGAGAGACAAATGTAATCAAACATTTACAAAACAACGTGACACAGAGGTATGAATAGGAGCGCACAGAATGAGGACCAAGGGTGCAGGGAAGGTGGTGGTGAAGGAAAGCTTCATGAAAGGAGTGATAACTGACTGGGTTGTGTCCATGTGAGTGAGTACTAACCAATGTGCAAAGACATAAAGGTGAAAAAAGGTCTGATCCATTGGACTAGAGTGAGGGTAGCTAGTGAGATGAGGCTGAAAAGTAGAAAGAGGACAGGCTGTAAAGAATGTCATGGGTTGAGGGAATTTTAATTTCACGTTGTAAGCAATTGGAAGCCCACGAAATGAGATTTAAGATTATTTTTAGTGCACAATTTCTTGTAGAGAAAATTTTCTTTATAAACATATATAGAAATTACTATGAGATGGGTCTTTTATGTTTCATGCTACACACATTATTAAATGGTCTTACTGTGTTTCCAAATTAAGTAACCAAACAGTGAAGGCTGTTTCATGCAAACCAAAACATAAAAAGATATATGGACAATGAAGGAGACATAAGGAATGGGCTAAGAGAGAAACAGGTTTCTTCAGGGGGCAAACACATTGTTCCCACATGCTCATGCATTTATTTTCCCTTGCATTCTAGCTTACCTAGTTTACCCCTGAAAGTCTTTATCTGAAGGACATTTCTACCTGGATGGCTCTCCAATGCTTCTAAGTTTACCTAACATACCCCAAACTGAATTCCTCCCTACCACAAACTGATGATCCTTTCAGCTATCCCTCTGGTCAGGGGACATGATCTTTTCACATTCCTTAGGCAAGAAACATCAGGATTACCTCAACCTTCCACTCCACTTCAATCACTTTCTTCATCTCTCAGACTTACCCATCAGTTTCCAAGTTCACTGTCTCTATCTAGGTGATAACTGATGGCAAGACTGGTTCATGGCAATCTCTTTCAGCTAATGTTCATCTTCAGTTTCTGCCCTTCCAATTCATCCTACGTACTGATGTAAAATTTCTCTATTAACACATCATTGTCTAGCCTGGGCAATACAAGGAGACCTCGCAAAAAAATTAGCTGAGTGTGGTGGCACATGCCTATACTTCCAGTGACTTGGGAGGCTGAGGTGGGAGGATTGCATGAGCCTGGGAGGTGGAGGTTGCAGTGCTAAGACTGAGCCACTGCACCCCAGCCTGAGCAACAGAGTGAGACTCTGTCTCAAAAACAGAACAAAACAACAACAACAACAACAAACAAACCCACAACACTTTCATGCTATCAGTCTCCTGCTAAACACCCAGAATGAGTCCCTTTTTCATGTAATTCAGACTCGTCTGGATGAATTTTAAAGATTCTGTTTTAACCTGAGAATATTCCATCTATTCAGCCACTATTTTCATTCCCATCCAGTATTCAACTTTTGCTTAAGTAAAAAAGATCTTGATTTTCTACTTACACATAACAATCTTTCTTATTCCTACTTACAGACCTTTATTTACGATTTTCCCACCACTCAGAATGCTCCTTCTATTGGCATTCCTACTGACTTGGTTCTCTTTCATACTTGTATATGCTAATACAGTGGCTACAAATTTGGCATTTTATACAGCACATCTAATACTTGAAAAAGAAAGTCATTATTAGCCCTTTTAGAAAAAAAAAAAACCATAGTGTAGAAAATAGATAATGTCTTAGATCAATAACTTTCAGTTTCTTTGTGGATGGCACTAATAATGATATTCAGAGGTATTGCTTACCCTTAAAGTTAGATTGGGTCTCACAACACTGAAAAAGAAATCTTTACATTTTGAGATTTAGAACAGAATACATTAGGTTATGACTATTCAATAATTAGAATATTTGTGCACAGAACACTAAATTAGGCAGTGGGAACTATCATTAACTACTTCAGTATACTGAGCCAACTTACTTCATTCTTCATTTCCTATATAACAGGGAAAATAGTATCTGTTCCATTTACCTCACAAAGTTTTAAGGGGTTATGTAAGAGAGACTCATATAATATTAGAGCTAGAAGTAATGCTCAGATCATTTAGTTGAACATTCTCATTTTGTGAGAAATTGTTACATATGATATAGTTGACAGGAATCAGAATATAATGGAAAGAACATAGGTTTGGAATCTGCTACTTCCATGAACAAGAATGCATCATCACTCCCTCAAATCCTAATCTCCAAGACGTATTTAGTCATACAAATATTTCTGGTACCTAACAGAGCCCTAAAATGGTATTACAACCACAGAGTGAACACAAACAAACAGGAAGAGTAATATTCGAGTGCTAGACAGTCAGGAACACATATTCTGCTGGGAGGAGGCTGACAGACATCCTGGTGTAACTTGAGCAGGACTGATTAATAACCAACAGGCACACACACGTAGAATGACTAGAAATAATTACAGAATAAACTAAAACACTGGGTGTAAAAGTGGCTATTTTTTTTAAATTGCCACTGTTTTACATTTACTATCATTCATGACAGTAAGTTTATAATGTCTTCTAACAAGAGGTAAAAGAATAATTGAATGAGTGAGGTATTCAAATCGGTTCAGAAAAGAGATCAGGCAGCGGCGGTGGGAAGAGGGATACATACAGGAAAGAGAGACGTAAGAAGGGTCTGTTGAAGGGGGAAATGGTAGGAACTGGAAGCAATTTATGGATGGAACGTACGTTTAAACAGGAAAACTGGAGGATGCTCGGCACATTTCTGTTAAGAGTCATTAGAAGTTTAGAGGTTTGGATTCAACTAATACTTTTTGAGACTGCACTACAAGACGGGTACCATATAGTCACCTAAGTTACATATGTAATTTTACAGTTCATCCAGACTTACCATTACATGCCCTGAGAGAAACATGATCCAGAAGTTTTTGTATTTCAAAAATGTGGAAAGAAATCATCTATTTCTACAAGATAAGATTTACTTTACTAAAATGTCAGGTGCCTTTGCTATAATTAAGTAAATTAAATGAGGTAATACTAAACATTTCATGTTAACCATAAGCTATGACTGTAATTATCTCTTTATTTTTTTTTTCCAGACAGAGGCTCTGTTACCCAGGCTGGAGTGCAGTGGCATGATCTTGGCTCACTGCAACCTCTGCCTCCTGGGTTTAAGCAATTCTCCTGCCTCAGCCTCCTGAGTAGCTGGGAGTACAGGTATACGCCACCACGCCCAGCTAATTTTTGTATTTTTTTAGTAGAGATGGGGTTACACCATGTTGGCTGGGATGGTCTTGATCTCCTGACCTCGTGATCCACTCGTCTCAGCCTCCCAAAGTGTTGGAATTACAGGCATGCACCACCGCGCCAGGCAGTATTTATAGCTTTAAAAATAAATTTATTAAAATTTAAGAAACCAATCTGTCTGACAGATGAAATGTTTTAAGGTAAAGAATCTATAGGATGGCCAGGTGTAGTGGTTCATGCCTGTAATCCCAACACTTTGGGAGGCTGAGGCAGGAGGATCGTTTGAGCCCAGGAGTTCAAGACCAGCCTGGGAAACATACTGAGACCCCTGTCTCTACACAACAAAAACACAAACAATAAACTAGCCAGGCATGGTGGCAAGCACCTGTAGTCCCAGTTACCCAGGAGTTCCAGGCTGCCGTGAGCTATGACTGCGCCACTGCACCCCAGCCTGGTGACAGAGCTGTCAAAAAAAAAAAAAAAAAAAGAATCTATGGAATAAAATAATAAAAATGGTCTTTGGTGATACGGAAGTGGAGAAGCCAGCCACAGGGAAAGCCCAGCACTTCCAGCCAGCATGCTCTGATCTACAGTTTATTACTTGATGTCTACCTCTGGCCTGATGTAAAAAGAGCAGAGATATCAGTGGGAAAGTTCTGATTCGATGTTCCTGCCAATGTTCTAATTGAAAAAAACATTCACACACTCCAACTTATGACATAAACTGAGGTGGCAAATGCCCATTTAAACCTTCCTGTCAGGCAGCAGGACACAATTAGAACAAAAGTCTCATTACAGAGAAGTGCGGCCAACACAACCAACATTGTTTCCACACTTTAGATTTCCATTCAGACAGGCAGAGGTGGGAATGGAAACCACTATGAGCATCCCCTCATAGCTTGGGTTCTGGATGATGAAAAAAACTTCCCTGATGAAGAGACATTAATTGAGAGGTTAGACAGATTCATATACTCACCCTCAAAAATCATGAATCATAAAAGAGAATCGAAATAAATGCAATCTACTCCAGGGTCCCTGTGACCAATATAACATAGTATGTGGGCAACACGTATTAAATACAGTCATAATTTCTACAGGGACCCAAATATATTTACATTTGGTTGTTATGAGCTTGAGCAGGTATAAGGGACTTTCTGTTATAATCCTGATTTATAAGTTTAGATCCTTCTCTTTCCCAATCCTAACTCTCATATATACCTGTCTCATCCCACACTCAAAGAAGCAGGTTTCCTTCTCTCCTCCCTTCATCTTTTCTTTTTTTTTGAGAAAGGGTCTCCCTCTGTCGCCCAGGCTGGAGTGCAGTGGCATAATCTCCGAGTACTGCAACCTCCACCTCCCAGGTTCAAGTGATTCTTGTGCCTCAGTCTCCCAAGCAGCTAGGACTGTAGGCACACACCACCATGCCTGGCTAATTTTTTCATTTTTAGTAGAGACAGGGTTTTACTATGTTGGCCAGAATGGTCTCCAACTCCTGACCTCAAGTGATGTGCCCGCCTCGTCCTCGCAAAGTGCTAGGATTATAGATATCAGCCACTATTCCTGGCCTCCCCTCATCTTTAACACTATTCCAAAGGGAGTCACTTATATGACTGATGATATACTCAAAACATGCTTTCGGCCTCACACAGTGGCTCAAGCTCGTAATCCCAGCACTTTAGGAGGCCAAGATAAGCCTGGTCAACATGGTGAAACCCCATTTTTACTAAAAATACAAAAATTAGCCAGCATGGTGGTACATGCCTCTAGTCCCAGCTACTCCGGAGGCTGAGGTACGAAAACTGCTTAAGTCCAGCAGGGGGAGGTTGCAGTGAGCCAAGACCGCGCCACTGCACTCTAGCCTGGGCGACAGAGCAAGACTCTATCTCAAAAAACAAAAAGAAACAAAAAAACTTGTTTTCAGCATTGACCTCCTACAGGCCAATCCACTCATTCTACTCTGCCACCGACCACCACCCTCCCCCTATCAAACAACTGGCAGAAGGGAAAAACCTCTCAATTTTCTCAGCTAAGAAATTCCTTTTCATCTTAATGGCTGTGATGTAAAAGAGCAGGGAGTCAGGGCAATTCAATTAATTTCCTGATCTCGGGCAAGGTACTTCTGTCTTTTGGGACTTGGTTTTCTCTACAGTAGCATAAAGAGCCTGGTTCCCATCAGAGGTTGTCAGGTGTGCTCCATGGAACCCCAGAAGTTCTATAGAGCCTCAACAGGGATGGCCAAAGAAAGGGTAGAAGCTGACAAAAGATTTGGGCTCCATCTTCTACCTTTTAGTCAGAGCAACTCTGAGCTCTTATTTTATATATAGCTTCAGGGTTACTTTTACTTAAAGACAGGGCTCTTCAGATTTAAGAAGTCTGAAAACTGCTTAGCATGGCACTTAAATCATTTAATGAATGAATGAAAACCAAAGGGACAGGGATGATTTCTAAGGTTCCTTATAACGCTGACCTTCTATAGTTCTATGGCTGCTTAACATGAATTACAGTCAAGTTGTACACCTCTGCCTGTTTGCAAAGGTACTGAGACTTCCGCTTGTTCCTTAATTCTGCGTACAAACGTATGCCCAAGGCTGATTCTAGAGAATAATTCCCTAGAGCCACTAGGTACAAGGATTCAAATGGTTGGAAATGGGAGAACATCTTTAGCAGATAGGAAAAAATAGGTATATGGATTAAAGGATACCCAAGTCTGTGTCCCTGCAGTAGCAGAGTTCAAATGTAAGAAAAATGACAAGATAACAGGCTAATAACAACATCTTATCTCTTCAAAGACAAAATGTAAGTAACAGGGTCAAACTATATCCCACACCCCTTGAAAATTCTTCTTGACATCATCATGGCAAAACATCCCAATATTGTAGGTAAGGAACTAAGGTAATTTAGACTTACTCGGTAATTTTGGGGTCCAGGTTGCCAATCCATAATCGGTGTCCTTCCTGCAGAGAGCCCTCTGAAAGGATGGATGCATTCTCCAGGGGAAGAGTTTTGGTTTCTGCTTCCATCAATGTCTATGAAATACTAAAGTAAATGTGAACATTCAAGCAGGAGAGGAATAACAATGTGTGAACACAAGACTCCAAATTCAACTCAACAAACATTTATTCAAAGAGCGCATGCCCTCTGGGCAGTCCTTCAAAGGCCTCAGTTATTCCACAACCAGGGACCCAGAACCAGTTCCCTTGGGATAACTCCTCTGGCAGCCAGAGCACACAAGCTGCCGTTTAAGGTGAAAGGGGTGTGGTTCTGTGTAGAGAAACTAAAGTTTTCCTCCTCTGAAGCCAGAGGCTGACTGGGCAGGAGGCCAAAATCTCTATTACTACATGATATTTCAGTTCAACAACTGTCACCCAAAATAAACCCTGGAAACCACCAGGAAGAGTCTCAATGGCATTAAAAGGGATGGGTAGGGAAGAGCAGCATTCCATCCCTTTTCCTCTTGGAATAGGCAATACAGTAAAGGGAAGAGGCAATATAAGAAATCTGTGCATAGATACAACTGGGTTTGAAAGCAGGTTGTGTGACTTGATGAACTTTCTAGGTTTCAGTCTCCTCATTATCTAGAGAAATAATAGTGCATATTTTACAGAGTTGTGAAGATTAAAGACAGAAAAAAATCACTAAATACTGTATCTAACAACATACGTAATCAATAAATATAAGCTATTATCATGCTTACTCTTTTGAGACAGACCAGGAAGAAGAGACTAATTTTCTCCTTAGTTATTCAAGTTCCAACAATCGCTAGCTGTGTAGCCCTGGGAAAGTTATTTAACCACTGTTGGCGTCAGTTCCCTCATCTGTAAAATGGGGATAATGTCTCATGAAATTATGCTGCAGATTCACTGAATTAATATACCTAAAGCATTTAGAACCGTGCATGGCACCTAGGAAGCATTCAGCTTATGTTAAATTATTACTAGTCTTAGTTCCCAAAATGTCTCATCTCACAGCCAAGGAGAAAAGATGATTATGACGGAGGCAGCAGTATAAAGAACAGAAAACTTGGTGTCAGAAGACATTGTTTCAAATTGTGGCATTTCTTCTCCACGCCCAACCCCCCAAAGAGTCTCACTCTGTTGCCCAGGCTGGAGGGGAGTGGCACCATCTCAGCTCACTACAACTTCCACTTCCCGGGTTCAAGCGATTGTTGTGCTTCAGCTCCTGAGTAGCTGGGATTACAGGTGCGTGCCACCATGCCCGGCTGATTTTTGTATTTTTTGTAGACAGGGTTTCACCATGTTGGCCAGGCTGGTCTTGAACTCCTGACCGCAAGTGATCAGCCCACATTGGCCTCCCAAAGTGCTGGGATTACAGGTGTGAGCCACCATGCCCAGCAAAAATTGTGGTTATTTCTCTCCGAGCTTCAGTTTCCCCATCTTTAATAAATTTTGCCTTGTTTATAATTTAAGGCTTCGAGGACCCAAAATGAGATGGCAGATGTAAAATAAAGCTTTAGGGGCTGGGAAGACAGCAGGCTGTGCCAGAGTTCAGAAGACCCTGCTAGAAAACACATGTCCTATACCCAGAAGTATCTCAGAGGTCAGCACTACAGGAACTGTGGGGTCAGCAACAACAACTGCCATTACCTCTTAATCATCTCAGCACACCCTATAAAGTCTAGCACAGCAGTCCCTAAGCAATTGTTATTGAATATGTCTATCTACCCCCTGCACATGAGGGAATTTTTCTTCCTTTCCCCCCTCACATCTTTAATCTGTTCAGCAATGTAAGTCAAGCAACTAGGAACTGTTAAACTCTGGGCTATGTATTGAAATACAGAAATGAATGAGCCACAGCTCTTGTTCTTACCTCGTGGGAGGAAGGTGAAAGACAGAAATAGAATCCCAGGGGAGAACCATTTTGTCTTCTCTCTGCTTTCCTTTCCCCCTACTTTTTAAACAAATCAGTCATTCAAAAAATAAATGTACTGTTTCTATTTTCTAGGCCTTATCTAATTACTAGAATCAGAGCAGTGAACAAGCAAGGTCCCCATCCTCTGGATACTTATATTTGGAAGGGGAGCAGGACAAAACAAAAGCAATATTAAGAAAATATGATTAGTGACACATGCCACAAACAATTAAGAAGGGTGATGTGAAGGGGGCTAGATGACTTTAGAATGAGTGGAGGGAAGGTCTCTCTAAAGGAGATGACATTTGAGACTTGAATGATAGGACATTCTGATCTTCTCCTGTCTAAAATCAGCAATAATACTAATGGCTATTAATACTTATTACCACAAAAAGGTACAATGTTTTACTGGTTAAGAGTGCAGGATATGCAGGTCTGGATTCAAATCCTGACTTGCACCTAGTTACTGTGCCTTTGGCAAGTCACACAATCTTTTTCTTTTTTTTTTTGAGACAGATTCTTACTCTGTCACCCAGGCTGGAGGGCAGTGGCACGATCTCCACTCACTGCAACCTCTGCCTCCCAGGTTCAAGCAATTCTGCCTCAGCCTCCCTAGTAGCTGGGATTACAGGCACCGGCCACCACGCCCAGCTAACTTTTGTATTTTTAGTAGAGACGGGGTTTCACCATGTTGGCCAGGCTGGTCTTGAACTCCTGACCTCGTGATCCACCCGCCTCAGCCTCCCAAAGTGCTGGGATTACCGGCGTGAACCACTGCGCCCGGCTCACACAATCCTTCTGCATCCTCTCGACAGAAAAGCTTTCCTTAACAGACCCCCTTGTTAGTCTGTATCATAGCCACCTTTCCACCTTTTCCCTCCTACCTAATGCGATTTCAACGTATTTCTTAATGTTTTCTCTTCTGTTTCCTACACTAGAACAGGACAGGATCTTGCCTATCTTGATCATGGTTCTATTCCTAACATTTAAGTACTGCCTGGCTCACGGTTGGTACTCAATATTTACTAAATGAAGGAAGCCACTTCTCCACTCGGAACCTCAGTTTCTTTTTCCTTCCTAGAATAGGTACAATACAACTATCCCTGTCTCACGAGGTCGTTGTGAGTCTTAAATAAGACAGTTTTGATGACAGCTCAGTATATGGTTTTTTGAGAAACGGTAAAGGGTAACAAAAGATCAAGGCGGCATGGGACTATCAAAATGCTTTGCGTTTACAATAGCAACAATCCTTTAGATTACCAGAGATTACAAAACGCGGTTACATTTATCCTTCCAGTTGAGCTGCAACAACCCTGGAAGCCAGAAAGTCATTTGGGGAAAGCACAATTCAGAGAAGAAGAGACACTTGATCCTAAAAGCTAGTGGTGGGGTCAAGCCTGGAACCCTGGCTTCCCGATTTCTGGCTGCGAATTCCCACACGCGACGGGTCATTACTCGATTGTTATTTCCGGGCCAGCGGCAGGACAATCCGGGGCGGGGCCAGAGATGCTGTCCTGCGAGGGAGGCCTCCTGTAAGACCTCCTTGAGGACCCATCGCCGAGGTGTAGGGACACCTCGCGGCCGGACTCACCTCGTGGCCTCGGCGTGGTGCCCTCAGCTCATGCCCCGAAACCAGGTCCCCACTCCGCGGTCAGACGGACCTCTAGACGCGTCCGCCTCAATGCCGCCAGCTGCCAGGCCGCCCGTGACGCGTTACGCCTGCGCCGCCGCCTCGCCCCGTGACGTCACGACGCCCGCGCCGCTGCGGTAGCCGCCGCCGCACGAGTCTTTCCTAGTAACCTGGGCAATAGCTGGTGAGTGTTCTTGACAGGGCCTCGAGACACGCGTGTGGTCTGGGTGCCAGAGACCCTTACTCAGGGACCTCTGGGGTTCTCAGGGGACCAGACTACCGTCCCTGACCCTTTCGAGCCCAGCTTGACCTTTAAGGCTGGGGGCGGGGCCTGTGGCATCAGAGCGAGTCTCTTGGGTGGGGGCGGGGCTCATTTTACCAGCTAGGAATTTAGGCGATGCTGGGGGTATTTACTAAAGAGTAGTCGCAGACGACGGGAACATTTGGTTTTTAGATCAGTCCCGAGGGAATAGCTGTTATTATTTCCAATAATGAAGAAACGGAAGCTCAAATAGATTATTTTGCCAGGGTCACGCGGTCAGAAAGTGAGGGCGCTTAAATTCAAACCTAGGTCTATCCGACTCCTAAGCCTGAACTTTTAACCACTACTCTGTGCCACCCAGTGGCAAAACAGTTGTCATTTTAGTAGCCCCTCTCCATTTATATAACTGACAAATAGTATTGTCATTTAAGTATTACAGATGAGACGGAGGTCCAGGGGAGTTAGACCGATCTAAGGTCACGTGTCTAGGAAGTGCTGGAGCCAAGATTGTTTCCCGAGTCTTCTCTAAGTTTAGTGCCTTTTTTTTTTTAACCACACTATTGCATTTTCCCCAGCCTTAGAAAGCTTTATAGTTGGAAAGAATGAAAAGCTGATCAGACACCTTCATTTTATGGTTGAAAAAAAAATCTAGGTAGGAAAAATCACTTGGTACAAGTCACAAGTCAGTGGTAGAGCTGCCACAAATGCTTTTTGAATACGGGTGATTATGAATCTAAAGGGTGGATGGCAGGATGTGATAAGGAAGGAATATTGGAGTCCAGATCTCTTAACTCTTAGGCAAAAGCCCTTTCTCTACCTGTTAAAGTGTCTCATTCCTTCTTTGGCTGTGCCAGGTGCATAAGGATTCTGTGTATAGTCAGATAATACAAGTACTTTTCTTTACCTGGCACTGCATTTAGAGAAGAACATGCTCTACTATCTCTAAGCAAAAATCTGGCAAACCAAGAGACAGTGGAGGCAATGCTGGGAAGCCCAGAACTTACATCACAGTAAGAGTAGATTCCAATCCGATTCTGGTTCCCTCATCTTGACCCTGGACAAGGACTTAATCTTTCTGGACTTTGACTTATGTATTCATCACATTTACAGTGTCTTCTCTGTTCAGACAGTGTACCAGGTACTGGGGATACAACAGTGAACAAGAAAATCATAGATTAGTCCTTGTAGTGCTTATAATCGTAGGGAGGGAATTAGACAACAGTCAAATAATTACACAAATCTTAGCTTGTATTGTTAAAAATTAAGTGCTATGAGCTGGGCATGGTGGCTAATGCCTGTAATCCCAACACTTTGGGAGGGGGGAATTACCTGAGGTCAGAAGTTCAAGACCAGCCTGGACAACATGGTGAAACCCTGTCTGTATTAAAAATACAAAAATTAACTGTGCACATTGGCGTGTACCTGTAATCCCAGCTACTCAGGAGGCTGAGGCAGGAGAATCGCTTGAGCCTGGGAGGCAGAGGTTGCAGTGAGACGAGATTCCCTCATTGCACTCCAGCCTGGGCGACAGAGTGAGGCTTCATCTCAAAATTAAGTGCTATGATGAAGTAAAGTGTGTTATAAAAGCAGGCTATGGGACACTTGACCTAGTTGGGCTGTAGGATTTTCTGAGGAAGTGATGGTTAAGCTGAAATCTGAAATAAAAATGGGAGATAGTCAGTTAAAGAGATGAGGGAAGATCATCAAGAAGATTCCATGGCATGTTTGAAGACCCCAGAGCAGGGGGAGCATTGGAGAAGTGAAAGATCATTTTGCTTATTTTGTAAAGTATGGGTGGTGATTATCACTCTTTAGTTATTATGAGAAATAAGATGATACATGTGAAAGTGCTTTATGTACAAGGCCCTGGGTGTGTGCACATTCATAAGAGTGCTTATGCTATAAGCTAGTATGCAGCTGGATTGAAAGGAGTTGCTGGGACAGTAGATAAGCCAGGACGTTGGGTTCATAATCTAACCAAAATTCAAAGCACCTTCTGACAGGGAAATCCAAGTTTTGAGACCCTCAACTTTGGAAAAATAATGTGTGCTTCAAGTAGTTTTAAAAATATTTCAGGTCGGGTACAATGGCTCACACCTGTAATCCCAGCACTTTGGGGAGCTGAGGCTGGTGGATCACCTGAGGTCAGGAGTTCGAGACCAGGATGGCCAAAATGGTGAAACCCCATCTCTGCTTAAAAAATACAAAAATTAACTGGGCGTGGTGGCAGGCACCTGTAGTCCTAGCTACTCAGGAGGCTGAGGCAGGAGAATCCCCTGAACCTGGAAGGCGGAGGTTGCAGTAAGCCTAGATCATGCCACTGCACTCCAGCCGGGGCGATAGAGTGAGAGTCTGTCTCAACAATAACAAAAATTCAATAGTTGGGATGCTGTTATAATAGCTACAGTTTATTGTGTACCCGCTGGATGCCAGGCATTGTACTGTGTGTATGTGTTTTGTTGTGGTTGTTTTAAAGAGACTAGGTCTCACTGTGTTGTCAAGGCTGGCCTTGAACTCCTGGTCTCAAGTGATCCTCCTTCCTTAGCATCCCAAATAACTGGAACTATAGGTGCCCACCACCATTCCCAGCCATGCTGAGTATTTTATATGCATAGTATAGTGGCTAATACCATAGACTCTGGAGCTAGACTGCCTGAATTCAAATCTTGGGCAGAGTACTTATTTGTGCTTCTGTTTTCCTATCTGTAAAATGGGAATAATCGTAGTACTTCAGGGTTGTCATGAGGCTCAAATGAGTTAATATGTGTAAGCCACTTAGAATAGTTTCTGTCACATAGTTATATAAATGTTAGGTATTGTTGTCATTATTATTGTTATCTTTTTAAACCCTCATTAATATCACTATAATGATGATGTGGAAGCTGTTGCTCTGAGAGGCTTAATGACCTTCCCAAGGTCACACAGCTAGTGAGTGGGGGAACTGAGATTTCAGTTCCAGACTGTGTTCAATCTCAGACACTTCCCCACATTACTTCTATGTTTAGGTTAATTTTGTTGACTAATGCTTGGGATCTCAATAAATTTTTCTTCAACTTTAATTCTTTATCTGTGTTGAACTGAATGTTAATTTGCATACCCTTCATACCCTTAAGGTAAAGGACCACCTTTATTGAACTTCCACTTTGAAATTTCCTGACTTCTGTGCAATGAAAATCTACGCCTAAAGCATTTCAGCAATGTGGTTTATTTATAGAGTTGTCTTCCGGTTCATGTGTACTGGGTCTGCTTTTGGGTGCTGCGTTTTCTGTCAAAGGTTGTTTATTTCTAACCCATTTTGATTTCCTGTTGCTTTGTGAATTGGTATTATGACCTGCAACAGGAACACCAGGAAACCTGTCTTAAATGGAGCAGCCAGACTGAGGCCCTGTAGACAAAAATAAAAAACTACACATTATTCTACAGCCATATTTGGTTATAAGTGCGAGTTAGGCATTGATTTTATTAGGGAAAAACCTAAATACAGAAACTTCACTCTGAGCCAAACTTCTGTGAACAGTTCCACTAAAATAGAGCTGGGCTATTAGCTCCATGTCCTTGGACAGTGACTTAATTTCTCTGAACCTCAGTTTCAACATCTAAAATGGGGATTATTATACATTCTTTGTGGCATTATTGAGAGGATTAAGTGAAATAATATAATTAAAGCAAGCAGTCCAAACTTGACCTCAATTAATAGTAGGTATTGATACTAATGAAGAAGAAAAATATTCCTTTTTTAAAAATCATGTCTGTTTTTATAGACTTCATACACTGATCACTAACTTCTAGTATCCCTTACTGTTAAAAATTCCATTATGAGAAATTATTTGCCTTTGTGCTACTCATTTGTTTAAAAATGATAACGATAGCTACTATGTTCCTGGCACTAAGTTAGTTGTTTTACATGTATTCATTATTTCATTTTATTGTAAAGTCAAGGTTATTTTTATCCTTGATGAGGAAAATGATGCCAGGAAAGAAGAGTTAATTGCCTCAAGTTGAAATTTACATCCGGGTCTGACTGATCGTAGGCTACCTTGTACATCATTAGTAACATACCAAGTTTCTTTACATCCTGGCACTTTGGGAGGCCAAGGCAGGTGGATCACCTGACCTCAGGAGTTTGAGACCAGCCTGGGCAACGTGTTGAAACCCTGTCTCTACTAAAAATACAAAAAATTAGCTGGGCATGGTGGCATGTGCTACTAGGGAGGCTGAGGCAGCTACTTGGGAGTGTGAGGCATGAGAATTTCTTGAACCCGGGAGGCAGAGGTTGCTGTGATCCGAGATTGTGCCACTGCACTCCAGCCTGGGTGACAGAATGAGACTCAGTCTTAAAAAAATATAATAAAGATAATATTTTTTAAAAAGTGTTTGAAAGAAAAGGTGATAGCTATCAACAGGTATTATTTTGGGGGGCTCCTGTTGTTTGCTAGGCCTGTGTCAAGGACTTTACCTGCATAACCCCATTAGTTATTCCCAACCCTAAGAAATAAGTACAAATATTCTCATTTAACAGTTGAGGAAATGAAGGAACAGAAGTATTTTGGAGTATTTAGTTAGTGATGCAACTAGGATTGGCTTCCAGGTCTTCCTCGCGACAAACCCATGCTCTCAATTCACTGCATTATGTTGCATCAAAATTTTAGGATGGGATTTTTTTTTTTTTTTTTAATGAGGTGTGGGACTGCAATGCAAAAGAAGCAGCTTCCAAGTATTTGATACTAGTTGTTTTTAATTTTTAGCTGAGCCTAGCAACATTATGGGCAGACGCTATTAATGATCGATTTGTCTTTTAGCTAGGGCTGTGTTCTAT